GCTCGTTTGTCACAAGATGAGATTACGTCGGAGACATTCCGGCCAGAAATAATAACGCACAATTATCTTAATAAATGTCGTCGAATTGTTCGCGCCGAAAGAATTTCAAATTAAACATAATCACCTAATATGATTTGCAACTCGCGTGTGACGTGATTGTAAACGACGAGAATTGCCGAGTAATTATTATCGCGCACACAGCCATTATCGGCCAATTAAACTTGCAATCTGTATAGTTCCGATAGATAATCAATGGATTTTTTTTATCCGACACAAACCTCAGCTAATAATTACAAAAATTGTCTTTGTAAAAGATCATATATATAATTTGTTTTTATCTTCAATTTATCAGAATTTATACAGGATGAGAGGATATTTTACGTTAATTACATTCCTTTAGTCTGCATATTGATCAATAATTCATTAAAGTAGATATCATACAACGGATTGTTTTAGTGTTAAAACAAAAACCAAAAATAAATATCAAAAACTAATATAAACATCAAATGTGACTCTAAAATAAAAACCTAAATTAAAAAAAAATTACATATATATATATATTTATATATATTTATATATATAAATTTCATGCTAATAACTTAATTACACTCTTGCTGTTTTTCAAGCGACGTTGTCTTTTCAACGAAATGAGGGTAGATACGTTACAAAGTGCGCGATGCCGCTCTGTCGTTCGTTCGGTCGCGTTTCTAAAGGAGCAATTTCGACGTTCTCTTCGACATGTGCAGCGCGCGTAGATGCGCTGCAGTTCGCAACAGACGGGAACGCGGCGCGGGATCGTAATTAGCGACGACTGCAAGAGAGACGAAATTCTCCTTGGTCTGGGCGGACTAACGAGCTCGCCGCATTCACGCGCGTCTTCTGTCAACGCGATGCGATTGCCGGTGCAGAGACAAGCCGCATTATGCCGGGCACAACGAAACGCGCACACGTAAGAGCAGCGCCTCCGCCTGTGTGTGTCTCTCGCATGTGCACGCTTTTGTCACGTGTGACGCAGCGGCGGTGGCACGACACACGTAAAAAAGATAAAGAATCGCACGACACGCGCGAATACATCGTTCAATATGTACAATCATCTAATCAAGCGTATAATTTACGATGCAGTCGGTCGAAGTTGTTTCCGGTCTAGATTCTTGATGCGAATGAAAAAAAAAAGAGCTCGATATAGAGTTCACTCTTTTCGTTGGGTTACGACAAACTCCGATGTCAACAATCTCCAATGAATTCCCGTAGTGGTTCCTCTCTTATTGTTTGCAATTTTTTAAGTAGAAATAACTGAATAAGCCACTAAAAACCCAAGCCAGGCTTGAAAATTTTATTATTAAAAAATGAAGAGCACACTTGTAAGTGCGCATCGACAACAGCGTTTGGCCTTCTTTTCACGACCTAATTAGCATCTTATTGATTTAATTTCACGGAGCCTAAATTAATTGTCAAATAAAAAAACTAACACCTATTTACGGAAAGTCTATCGACGAGTGTAATTTTAAATGACACTTTTTTTGACAGTTTGCTAATAATCTTTTTTCTGAGGATTAATTGATCAGAGTACAGACAATGTTTTCCTTACTGATCAATTTGAGTAGAGATTCTTTACTCGACAAATATTTTTCTGATAATTCTGTTTGTCGTAACGGGGAATGTGCGCGTTATCAACGTTAAACTTCCGCTCTGATTACGGAGATCGAGTGCATTAATAAATCAAATGTTGATAGCAGACACGACAAATCTTGGATATAAAACGAGAGATGAACGATCCTGAGGAGAAGAGCTGGGAGGCTAAGAATACCGAAATCTCTCTCCGGAGTTCTTTGACCTTTAAATTTGTCGTTTGCTGCGCGTGCGTAGACGAGAGATTCGTTCTGATCTGAAAACTTATATTTTTTTACATATATGTGGAAAATGAAAGAAGATGAGATCTCCGAACAGTGTCTATTGATCATTGTCAATGCGGACAAGCGGAACGTCTGCTAAAATGGAGATTAATTTTTCAAAGATAGACACGAAATTTCGACGTGTAATAGTTCGACCGTGTTTCCCACGTGCACGACTGTCCTGTGGATTTTTCTCAGCGTGGAAACTTTTTCGAGAAAAATGTCGCTGCAAATTCTGCGGGAAGCACCGGTTTTCAGCGAGACCATCAAAGTGCGGTAAAACGAACCGAGATATCGTTCCTCTCTTTTGAGGAAAAACTCTTCCCGCAATTTCCAGCAACGCGCGACGAAAACGCGACATCGAAGTTTAAGATTGAAACGCGACGCGGGTATTTGCCAGGGATATAAAAGGATGATGCTTCAAATCATCGGAAGAATTCGAGAGAGGAAGACAACAATTGTGCGTCCTCGTTTCCGTGAAATTAAATAGTTAAAAGTTCGACGCTTGTAATCGATAACATTGTTTTTATTTATATAATTCTCGAAATATAATCGAACAATTGCTTCGCACTGTTTCCTCGACCGTGTGCGTGTACGTGTGATAAAAGTTCTGTTTTTATTGATTGTTTGAGTTTGTCAAAAACTCGAGAACATCCTCGAAAATATTCACCGAATAATGTAAGATATTCGTCAGAAGTCGACGAGAAATATTCCAGCCGTGGATACCCTCGCCAGCCGTGGATTCCGATTGCTCGCAAGCGAACGTGACGACGACTACACTATGGACGAGAGAAGAGTACCTTTGACATTTTCCCGAAGAACTCCGAATGAACATCCGGCGGCGTCGCGCGCGCGCGAACTAACGCGTTGCATAAGTGTGAGATTTGCTCAGCGCAGCATAAAAATATCCGATTTCTAGACTTTCATTACACGACTATTATGCAACGATTATGCAGTTCTGTGACTTGCAAGAAGAAAGCTTTCTCTCCGCGTTAAAGACTGTTCGCTGAGATGTTAATAAAAAAAAAAGATAAATAAAAAGAAAAAAGAAACGCGGGACTAATTAATTTTGCACAACAAAAGTTTAAAATAAGCAATAATAATTTATTAATGCGTTATTTTTCTGTTATTTATTCATGTGTTACTTTTTATTTACTTTTAATACAAAAGGATGTTGAAAAAAAAACTCTTTCTTATTCTCATCTTTATACACTCTCAAGGACTTGTTTACGTAAATACATGTAGATTTTTTTCCCGACAACCTTGAGATTTGCATGTCAGACCGATGTGTCTCTCTGAAAACAATGGGGGGATCGCGATACGTGTTGTACATATACACAAGCGCGACCAGTCGCGCAGACTGTTTTTGTTCCCGTCTCGTCGAGTTTGACGGCGCTGCGTAATCAGCACCCTTGATAGAGAGCACTTTCCCTGGTTGTCGCGCCGACGACAAGAGCTTAACGTCGATGACGATCGATCGATCGGACGCGCGCGAATCTAATCTCGGATCGTTTTGAGTGGGCTGTCTGTAAGTCGGCTTTTCCTGCTGTATACGATTGAAGTCAACAATGCAGAAAGACAGAAGACTCGCCGCAGGTGTATACAATACCTGCCTTTCTTTCTAATTCCCACTGCCCATTCCTTTTTCATTCTGCTTGAAGTTTAAATAAGAGGCAGAACTACCGCGGGACGTACAAATCTTTTACGTTTCAAGCACCACATCATACCCGCAGCCACACTTAACTCTTTATTTTGTCTTAGTTGTTCTTAGCTTGAAGATCTCCCATTCAGTAACAAGAAAAAAAAAGAAAAAAAACTACGACCAATACAAACTTAAGATACAAATCAAAGAGTAAACAATTTTTTGCTCAAATAACACAGAGATAATATAAATTTTTTAGATACACGGAGAAACACATTTTGATCTTATTTTTTTTATCATCTGCGGTACGTCGAAAGCAATGTTTCTCTCTCTCTCTTAAAAATTGAAGAAAAATAAAAACAAAAAATTGCGTCTATCGTATTCGAGAGAGAAACAATGAAATAAAAAAATATATCCATAAAGTTTCTCCTCGTTAGTATCAGTTTTTTGCGTTACTCACTGACTTCTCGAATGAGAATCGAATATTGTGAATACAACGACGCGTGTCTGCACTATTAAACGCATGCCAGTGTATGTACGCACGCGTGGTACATATACGCACGCACGCAGGCGTTTATTTACGTCGTCGTAAAGCGAAGTGGACAGCGAGGATCTCTTCGTCGCGCGTTCACCCGGAACACGCGATCGAAGAGACGAGAACGACCTAGAAAGTCACAAGATCCCGTTGCACTTGACACGAACGAGCACGCCACAGCACGAGACGCGCGCGTTTTTGGTCGCTAGAGAGTATAAGTATACATATGTACACGTACGAAGTGTCGGATGCAGGGAGAAATGGTGTCCCTCGTGTCTTCGGTTTCCACAAATTTTTCCCGTGATATTTAAAAAGCGATATTTTCTAGTCGTGGAGGGAGAGTTTGGTTAATCGCATCTACGTTCGTTCGCACTCGCTTCGTTCTCTCTTGAGAGAACGAACAAAGAATTTAGCGCGCTGTTATTATTATACAAACGTTATTAAAATGTTACTAAACAAATTAGCACAAATGAAATTAATAAAAATAATTAACAAATTAAAAAATATAATCTCGTGGCCAAGCGTATTTCTTTTTATCTTATTTTAATTCTTGCATTCTTCTTTTGTTATTTCTTTCTGGTTGATCCTTTTTTGTTAATTTACTTTGCAAATAGTTTTGTTGTAATTATTTTTTGTTATATTATTATAAAATTTATTAATATACATGAGTGCCAGTCGGCACATCGCGTGTCGTCTCCTGGAACAGGCGCCGATGCGACGACCTGCTCCGAACTCTCTTGGAGCATATGCTCCGAGACAGCTGCAACAGGAACGGCGCTCGTGGCGAGCGGAGCGTACCACTGTCCGTCGTGCTGAAAATCGCGTGTGGCGGAAAAAAATCGAACGCGAAAAACGAACGGAGAAAAAGAGGGCGGAAAATCGGCGAGATCGAAAAGAGCGTACTGACAGATAACAGTTAGGAGGAGCTTACCTGACTTTGCCGCCGCAGAACTGGCAGTGCTCGCCCTGCCAGCCGTCGCGGCAAATGCAGGTGCCATTGACACAGTCGCCGTTGACGCAGGTGTCGGGATCGCAGGCCGTGTCCGCGGTCGGCGACGACGGGGCGGAGGACGCGGCGGCGCCTACGTGCACAAGGCAGCAGACGAGCGCCGCCCATAGTAGGAACGGCGCCCAGGACACGTTGGTTGTCTCGCCGCTGCCATGGCTGCGTTGATGCCGATCGCGATCACAGTGGCGGTGATCGGTGTGACGGGAATGAGAAGAAGAATGATGATAATGATGATGCACAGCGGCGACGAGGACGTCGCCGCACGTCAATCGCGGCCGCCACTGGCCTTTCCGACGATACTTGGACTTATATAGGAACAAAAACATCTGCACGATCTCTGCCATTTTGGTAGGCTTCCATGTCAGGGACAATGGCGACCGACCGCGAGGAGGTGCCGGGGGACGCGCATACGGAACAACGGGACACGACGACGACGAACGACAACGAGTGTGACGTGAGGACGAGACCGAAATCCTCGAGCGATTTATTCCAGTCTGACCGCGACGACTCGACTGCCCAACGACTCGACGACTCGCCCGACGAAAGCAGCGACTCGCTACTGCCTGCAAATCAACTTGCGCTGCGCTCCGTGCAGCTCTGTGCGCGCTGCTGCCGTACTCTGGCAAAACGCGAGAAAAAGAAAAAAAGAAAAAGAGAGAGAGAGAGAGAGAGAGAGCGAGCGGACACCATCTCCGCGCCGCGCCACTGTCGTAGTGACGGCGTATTACATTGCGCGCGATTTTCTTGTATCAACACAGTTTATTTTTTCATTTTATTGTTTGTCGATAATTCAACTCCCAGGTTTATCGACTACCGGCATTTTCATTAACTACGCAAAAACGCGTAGTTAATTACTTTATCGATAGAAACCAAATTTAAAAGTTTATAACGAAAGGAGAAAGAAATCCCGCCTTTGTGAAAAAGAAAATAGAAACGTTAGGAGGATCAAGTGTTTTCTATAACCTGATATAAAATCTACCGGAAATGTATTCCCCGCCAGGGAATTGTTTTTTGGTTCTACAGTTCTGCACCGCTTTAGCTGCACTTTGCGCCCTTCGGAGCGGAGTAAAATAAAACGGATATACAATACAGTATTGTAACTATGTATATTGATGAAGAGAGAAAGAGATCACATTTGACAGAGAAAGTAACACCAGGTGCAGCTGAGAAACTCCGAAGGAACCGGAACCGTTAACGGCGAGCGAAAAGACGCGGACTTCCTTGCGCGAATCCCGAAATGTGTTGCGCGACGGCAAAACCGTCGCTGTGAAACGACTTGCTAGAACTTGAGAAACGCCGCCATATTGCGAGAGAGAGGTTGCTAGTGTTGACTGAATGCGCGGCCTAGGTGTTTACGCGGTCTCGGCTGAGAGTCGATCTGGTAAGTGCGAATCGATCCCGTAGTTGCCATCAGGATACTTCGCACCAGGAGCACAACTACGGGCGGACTCTGCGTCCTGTGACGTGTTGTGCGATTTGTGGTGCTCTGACATGAGCGGCAGCAACGGCGAGAACGGCCGACAACGCGAGAGGATCATCACTACCACCAGCAGCAGCACTACAATTACAACAACCACCACCAGTAACGGCAGCGGCGGCATCACCGGAAATAGCGGTGTGATTGTGATGGGCGATTCGGCGGTCGCAGCAACAGCAACGAAGCACCGCGTCAACGACGATCCCGCGCGTACGCGCCAAGACTTGGACACGCCGAACGACCACGAGGACAGGGACGCGCGCGTGTCTCCCGTCATCGCCAACTTCGTCACCACAGGGGTACGTCGTCCCTCCGAGAGAACTCTTCTTTCATCGATCATCACTGTGCGCGACAGCTGATCGCTTAATTACAATCAGTCGTGAATAAAAAAAGACTGTTATTCTCTCTTTTTTCGCGACCTGAAATCCTTGCAAAGTGAAAGGACTTGGTGTCACCTTCTTGATTTTTTTCTGAAACGGAATTTTTGTATGGATAATCTTGTTGGTTTCCTTCTCTTTGTTGGAGTAACTTGTATTTAATTAATATATGTACCGTATGGTCCAATATTTTGAACAAAATGTAAACTTATGCTTGCTGTATTTCGTGCTATGATGAACAAGAATTTTTGGTCGTTACACAAATTAAAAGATCAGCCTCGCCTGTTGCTGTGCTTATGGATGTAAATTTTGTCCCGTAGATGAGTTTACTGGAGCAAATACCTTGGTCTTTGCAGTGTGCCACAACCGATCAGCGCGTGATCGACGCTTTTATCAGAGGCGCCAGAGCGCGCAATATTAACTCGCTAGAGAACAGATCGCAATCTAGCTTACCTCGTGTAAGCGCCAACCGGCTCGCCAACACGCACTTGTGCTCATCTCCGACCGGCGTGGGGAGTCCGGTGCGAAGAAAGAATCACGAGAAAGAATCTTGCTCTTGTGATACTTACAAAGCTCAACGGTAAAGGAATTACACTTAAAAAAAAATTACTAATCTTTAAAATACAGAGCACAAGAGAAAATAATATTAAATAAAAATTATGTTGGTGGATATGTGCAGAGATATGTTCAGGGAAGAACTGCAGAAGGCTATGAAGTTTCAGAACTTGTGGAATGAACTGAGGCAGTACATACGTACTGCCTTTAACATTGCTTTGGAGGATACATCCAAGTCTTTGCAATCTCAGTCAAACAGATTAGTCTCCTCGGTTGATATGCGTGATACCGTCATTCAGTAAGAATTTCTTATCTCTTACAATTTAGAGATAAAAATTTAGTTCTTGTTAAAAAAAAAAAGTATTTACTATCTTCTGTTTTAGATTATGTAGAAGAGATCCTCACCAGTTTTTCATGAGATTAGTAAGCCAGGCGCAGGAATTTGTGATAGAAGTAAAAGTTCGTTTGTTCTCTCTTCTACAAGATCGTAATGTGAAGCATCTGGCGAAGGCTTTTCTTAACGGTTAGTATATCCGGTAAAGTTTTTTAACAACGCACAAATTGAGAAAATTTTCTATTTTCTTATTCGATGTGTATAGGTCTCTTAGATGATTATGATGCACTCATATCAACAGCGATTTTGATCTCGCGTTTAGTACAACCGTTAAAAGAATACCTCTTCAAGTTTAATTTAACGTGGGATTGTTTCATCAAAAAGTTGTATCAGCTTTATGTATATAATGATTCTTTAGTCCAAAACAATTTACCTACGTTTATCAGCCAGGTAAGATGACGCATTATAAGACGCCGAAAATGTTTTCGACTCCATCTTCGAAATCTATTTAAATTCACACGTGTTCACATTCACAGCTGACGCAAAGTCCGTATCTGCCAGTGAAAGGCTCCGAATATCGAGTTCTTGTTCACAGATACTTAGCTTTTGATGATGAAATGACGAAAATCGGTAATCTGTGGCCCGAGACGGAGTCGTGGATGGATAAATTTAAGTAAGTTAAACAACTCCATCCCGTTTGAATATCTGTCACACGATGGATCGACGCGACGTTGTGTCGCGAAAAGTTGCGAAATAGGATTGCGTTAGCGAAATGTGTTTCAGTGCAGAACAGGCCGTTCGTATGACGAGACTCAGGCAGATCAGAGAAGCCTGGGAATTGTTTTCGACAACGCGCAAACTGATGGAGCACAGTATGCTGAATAAGACACCCGAAATCGCAACGTAAGACATCTTGTGGAACAACAATTTCAATTTGTTTTGTTTTTTCTTTTTTTAATTCCGATGTCTCGATACATGTCTCAGTGAAATGCAAGAGATTCACGGGCAGTTCTCATCGCTCATTGCGCACACGTCCGGAAGCAGCAGCCGACCTCTAAGTCCAACAGTAGAATTCACAACAGATTCCGTGGCTATGCCACCGAGCATAGAAATAGTTCAAATATTGCTGGACGACTGGAATAAAGCACAACACCAAAAGCTGGCGGACATAGCCGGCGCGTTGACTGCCACCGAGATGATAGATTCGGCTGAACAGGACGAATCCGCCCGTAGTCAGTTGGCACAGTACGCTATTAGATCGTTTAGGTATGTTCTGCAGTTCATTCGAAGAACTACGTATTCCGAGTGTTTCCTCCTTTCTTTTCTTCCTCTTTTTTTTAACATGTATTAGTATTCACAGTGATGATTCCAACAGTGATGACAGTGACGAAATGGAGAATGGACTCGAGAATGGGAAAGGATGCGGTTGCGACACATGTAGCGAAAGAGAAATAAATCACACTGTAAGAAAATGGATTATTCAGTTATTTCTTAAGGCTTGTTATATTAACACTAGATTTACCAGACCAGTCATTTTGACTGATCGTGCAATTTCAATTCAAAATTTTTACTGCATGTAACATTTGCTTTCCGAAATGATGTTATGACTTTTGTAGCTATAAGTAGAGAATACATTTTATGAACTTAATGTTACTTTATATATATTCGTAACAAATATATTTTTTGTATTTTTTAATAGGTATATTTAAATAGCTGGTATATCTAGTGTTAACAAAAGGTTATATGTTCTTCATTTTTTTTATCGTAGGACACGCAACATAAGACCGAAAATGCCGATAGGAGCAGTAAAACTTTATTTCCAGGTAATAAATTAATAATAACTTAGTTCAAATGTGTGAACATGAGCGTGTGTCTCTCTTTTCCTCAGATAAAAAAATGTTTTTAGAAGGTCTTGCAAATTCGTCAACGACGCAAGTTAAAAAGGAACTAGACACTTCGAATAATAAAGACAAAAAAAAAGAGGAGGTGATACGCGATATTTTGCACAAGAATATCGGCTCGAAGACACCGGAACCGGAACCTTGTCAGTGTGTTTATCAACACGCGCGGGAAATAGTAGAAAGGAAGAAGGAAGTTCTTGAAAACCCGCCCTGTCCTTGTTTGCTGAACTCGAGACGCAAGTGGGACATGTGTCCTTGTTTGACTAAGCGTAAGTAGATCTTCACGTCAGATTTGATAAAAAAAAAAAAAAAAAACTTCATTTATCCGAAAAAAGGACGTACTCGTAAAAACAGCTCCAAAAACAATTATACCCGGTCGTCCTAAAGCGGTGTCGCCGACTTCGACGGCAAAGACCAATCCTGAACCGGTCCAAAAACCCGCGCCTAAGAGCAATACGCATTCCACCCAGACTCAAACAAGGCACTCTATGACGCAGACGCCTAACACGGCTCACAATCACAACACCCAGGGTAAGTGTAAATGAGAATTTTTCTACGTTGTGCCGTCGTCAACGTTGATCTTAATCTTCTTCTTTGTTGTCTGTAATCGTCATTTTTTATTAAGTTTATTTTCGTATGCATGTATATGTTGTTTTCTCTTCACGCGAAAACAGGTAATACTCATCCACACGCTCACGGGCCGAATCTGACGAAAAACACAGGTCCGTCTCATCCCAGACTTCATTCGCTTAATCATACATCGCACGCGTGCCACCAGCAAGCCCATGTCGAGCACATCAAAAGAGTGTCGTGTAATGATTGTCAGTATATATGTTACTACGTATATATTTGTCTAAATCATGCCGATTGCTCGCGCATTTTGTCACACTTTGATCCGCGATTTCAGTGGGTTACACGGACGGGGACTGTTGCTCGGATGCGGGAAGCAGCGACGACGACTCGTGCACCAGCGGCAGCTCGGCGGGATTGCACAGGGACAACAGCACAAGACACTGCGACTGTTGCTACTGCGAGGTCTTTGGTCACGGAATGGTAAGTCGAAGAGAAAAATGATAATCCGAAGTGACGACGAACGAACAAATGTTCATCGGTTTTTAGCCACCGGTCGCGCCGGTGAGTCGGAATTACAAAGAGACGCGGGAACGACTGCGCCAACTGCTAACAAAGAAGAAAGCCAAGAAGTGCACCGTAACTGGCTGCAGCCCGCCGCAGAGCCCGTCAGAATCCTCGACACCCAATGCCAATTCCGATCCGAAGGCTGTGAACGGCAGATCGAACACTCCGCTTTCGACGGCGTCAACGATTCAACACGAGCAACGAGATCAGCGGGATTTAGAAGAGTTGTTAGAGTTTATTGAAGGTAATCACAGCGGAAAGAAAGACAACAACAAAAAGGCCGAGAAGAAAGCGAGGCAGAAGCAACGAAAGGTTTGTTTATCTTTGTAATTAGATTACACATATTAGATTATACACATTCACAAGATTTTTTTAGTATTACAATATTTGACGTAGATAATTTTAACATTTCTTAATGTTTTTAGCAGCTTGAAGAAAAGATGAAGAAAGATAGGCAAGAGGCCGAAAGACAAAAGTTAATAGAGCTGCAAAAGAAAACACCGGAAGTGACGATCACCGTTGTCGATCCTCAAAAACCCGTACCTCAAAGACTATTACCTCAATGTAATTTACCGGAAGTATCTATTTTGCCGACGTCGCCCTCGGTACCAGCGGCAAAACAATTAAACAATAGAAAAAAGGATAAGCAGGACGTTAGTAGCAATAGTAATAATATTAACAGTAATAATAACATTACTAACACAAATAACAAAAAGACGGCGAATTTAAATGTGAAAAATAAAAACGCTGAAAAGTGCGACGCGCGAAATACAAATTCCAATCACGGGAATAATAATAATAAGAATAACGCGAAGAGTGACAAGACTGAGAATAATAAGGGCAAGCAACCGGCCAGTATTACTAATAATACGTGTACAAAGGGCAACTCAAATAATAATAATATAAATAATAATAATAATAATAATAATAATAATAATACAGACAAGTTGGCCGATGTCGACTCGCTCGACAAAAAATTGACTTTGACGAAGAAGGAAAAAAAGAAATTGAAGAAGGAAATGAAGAAGAGGTTGGCGGAGAAGAAGGCGACGGAAGTGGAAAGTTCGACGCAGACGGATCCACCGCCGCAAATAGTTACTATCAAGAGAGAAATGAGTTCGAACAACGCCGAACCTACCGTCACTATCACTTTGAAAGGTCAGACACCGGCGGAGGACAAGATTCTCTTCACATTGGTAAACGGACAGACTAAGGAGCCTCCCTCGAAGTCGGAAGAGCAGAATCAAAATAACGGCGGAAAGAAAAAGAAAGTCAAGGCAAACAACAACAATTTGCCGCAGCAAGGAAACAACAACAAATTGCAGCAGAATAATTTGAAACAACAAACGCCGCAGACTCCGACCAGAACCTGCGATGGCAAGAACTCGAAGCAGCAAGGGAACAACGAGAAGTCGAAGGCCGGCAAGCAAACGGACGAAAGGAAAGCTCGGCAGCAACAAAGCGGCAATGAGACGAGAAATTCCAAGTCGAAGAAAGACAAGAAGAGCACGGAGAACAAGGAGAACGTCATGCAGCAGCAGAACACGGTGCAGAATAAGACCAAGAATCAACAGAATGCAACTGATAAAAAGCAGAATAAGAACACGCCTCCTCAGACACCAGTGACGCAGAAACAGAATCAGCATATTACGAACGAGACTGCGACTTCCAAAAAAGCGAAGAAACAGCAGCAGCACCAAGATAAAAATGTCCAATCGAACAACGCGAGCAATAAGAACAATGTTAACACCAACAACGCTAATAATAAGAACGTATCGAATAAGAACGATTCTCAAAAGACTGCAAATAAAACGAATCAAACTGTGAGCAAGCAACGTATGCCTACAGAGTTACACAATACGTCCTCCGAGCGAGTTAGTTCGCCGTCGCTTAGCAGCCAGTTCAAGGACGTTGGCCCGAATACAAAGATCGACATCGAAAATCTCAAATTACCGCCTGGGATCACCATCACGAAGGTTGACGCGCCGCCCAAACCGCTCCCGATCAAAACGTCCCATCTGCCGAAGCCAGTGAATCCGCCCAAACAAACCACCATCATTGCTGCGCCGATGAGCGGCGTTCCGTCGAGCTTCGCGAGTCCGCCTACTGGCGGAAACGTAATAGTGGTAGACACGGGCAAACTTAAGCAGGACTTATTACCCAAAGCAAATGAGAAAGGTACATAAAAATTTAGCGTTAGCTTTTAATTACGTGCATGTTGGTAAAGTTTTGCACTTAATGCGTTTACGTACATGAAACTCGCGTGCATTTATTTCTCATATTTGTATTTTGATTGATCTTCTGCGAATGTACACGAAGGAATTTCTCGAATGTGCTTTGTTCTACGCAGATTCTACGAAGGACTCGCAGGCTCCTACGAGCACCAGTAGTAAAAAGAAAAAGAAGAAGAACAAAAACTCAGCCAGTTCGGGGAACACGGCGTCTTCGTCGCCGGTGCAGAATAGTATGCAAAGTGACATGTTCTCGATTGATCAGCCGACGGTGGAACCCGCGAGAATACTGCACAATCCCGGCACGAACACGGTGACCATCAGGAATCCGTCGTTCGGCCCGATGAAAGTGCCGCCCACGCAACAGGCGGCGATCATCAAGGTGTCGGAGAACGGCATGGTGACGATCCGAAGTCCGGCACTACAACAAGCGATCAATGCAGGTTTGACGTCACCGTCACCCAAGCCCGATTACATAGTCAAGGGTGATTTGACGAGTAGGGCGACCGCAGCGACGACGGCCGATTGCAATTCGTTGAAGCACGCGAACGGCATCGCGCCGCCGAATTTGGCGGAACTGCACAGCCGACTAACTGCACCGAATTGCGCGCCGTCTGAACTGTCTATCCAGATCAGTAAGGTAACGAACGGTCAGCTGATGCCGGCGGAGAACGGCATCAAGGATCCCGGTGTCACTCTGACGAAGGTGAGACCCGAGACAGCGGGCGCGGAGAACGCGCGCCAGGTCTCGATAAAGAACGCTGGACTGAAGGAGGCAGCAACGGCGATTACCGCTGCTTCGATAACGGCGGTCAACAGCAACGGCAACAGTGGTGGGAAGAACAAGAAAAAGAAAAAGCGCGGAAACGGCACGAGGCAGTGCGGAGATGACTGGAACCTCGTTGGTGAGAAACAACAATAATCAGACTTTAACATGTAAATTTGCTTCTTTCATTTTGTTTGTTTTCTTTAACACACGTTGTACACAACACGTACACGGTTACGCGCACATCTCTGGATTGACGAAGCCTCGACGAAGCTTCTCTCACCGACGACTAGATCGAATTCTTTTTCCGATGTTTTTTGTGACAGAATCTACCGAGTGATAGGGTTAGTTTGTAGCGCCCAAATTTAGAACTCGGTCTTGATTGTTAGTTTCCTTTTCCATTTACGGATACAGAATGCGAGGTAATTCCGTCTTGATGAATGCCGCATATATATGCCGAGTGCGAGAACCAACGAGAGAGCATCTGGTGATAGAAAGATAGGGTTATTTTGAGATAATTGAGGCTATGCTTAGCTACATGTAAAATAGATTATTTTTTTATTTTTTCGATGCGCTCGAGACCGATGAATGTGGAATGGACACTTCACCACTCGACTAGGTTTATACTGACTATGACAGCGACACAACGTAGTGCATTCGTATTGTGATAGGTGATACACAAGGGTGAACACCAAATAGAATATACGATATTTTTTATCTGCTGATCATGGTGAATAAAAAAAGAAAGAGTTGCTTTTTTCATTGTTATTCTCTTTTTCCCTTCGTTGGAGTTTTTCGAGAAAACGCTGCATAAGTGTGGGTAGTTATTTCTGGATTTTCGTATATCTTTTGACAATGTTACTTCACTTACTATCTGTAAATTGTGTAAGTTTTACGTACACATTTACACACGGTATAAAAAGATTGACTCGAAACATATCTAGGCCAATTAGTCACCTAAATTTTCACCTGTACAATTCAAAGTGGTTAGAAATTGACATCTATGACTCGAAAAGTACGTCTATAATTCGAAATTTTAGTGATAAAATCTTCATATAATTTGAATTATTATCTATTATTCGAGATAATGATGACTCGACACCTTTATGTATTACGTTCTCAATATTATGACATTTTTTCTCTGAACTTGTATTAGTCAAAGTTTCTTTCTGAATCTCTTATAATTCGAATTATTTTCTCGATATTTAAGTTAAAGAAGAACTGTTCGAACATTTGCCATAATTATTCTATATTTTTACATATAATATAAATATGTACATGTACATAACGCTTAGGACTTATACATAACGTATATAAATATATTTGTACATAAGCATAGACTTTTATATATAACATGTAATATATATATATTGTATATTATATATTATTATATATTATACATTATACATTATATATACCAGTATAGGTATAGGTATATAATAATACGGGTATAGTATACTTGAGAAGCTCATGAGTGTTATGTCTCGTTATGTAGTGAATCGTACGTGTGTATCTTTAACTCACTCTTAACAGCCTCTGTTTTTTTTCTCGTTTTTTTGTTCAGTTATTTCTACCCATACTCATGCAGTATGTCTTGATAAACAAAAGAAAAAAAAGAAAAAAGTGCACAGCAGATTTTGTTACCACTCATTACCGCGCTCGCAAGCGAGCTGTCGGTGTATCCAGTATTCAGAGCGTGTCTTTTGCAGAGAGCGTATTCACGCCCAAAGATATAGACCTCGAGAACGGGGAGATGGACGACGTAGAGCGTGAGCTGGAAGCTTTCAAGAGATTCTGCTTCCAATCGGTGCCGCTGCCGCACAAGGAGAAGGTGAATCTCAATATGCAGGACCTCATGTTGAAGAAGAAGTCCTCCTCATCGCCCTCATCGTCATCCTCGTCATCGTCGTCGTCATCCTCGTCCACGACGACAAACCCCGCCACTGTGATAGCGGCTAATTAATTATTTGTAAAATAATAATAATCTCGCGTAATATTGTTTATATTAGGATCACGCGATTATATATACTGCCATTGTGATGGTGCGACACGGTCCGGGACGCGCGGTCGCAGCCACGCGAAAGAAAAATCGCGTTTTTTAAGCAAAAAAAGAAAAAAAGAATGTATAATGCCTTTTCGTAGAGAAAAATGTCTTTGAATGTTAGCGACTCTAACGAACAAACGGGAAGAAGAAGAAAATACTCCGAGCGACGATCAGGCAATCTGTCGGATCGGAGAGAAACGATGTCACTGTATATGTGTACCGTTAATTAATAATTAGGAAGCGAAAACTCCTTCACCTGTGGCGAGACTGACGAACATTTGTAAAAATTCGGTCTCGTCAACACTCTATAAATAAATGCAATTGTAAAGTTATTATATTGTACAAGTATCGAAAAAAAAAAAAAAATGAGGAGCTACACATTGCGTTTGCAACTGCGAGAGCTTTACACTAGCGAGAGTCAGCGGACGCCACTCGACAAAATAAAATATATATATATATATATAAATATATATATATATATATATACAATGTGCGTGATTATATACAAATAGACTTATACGCACTCCTTTGTTTTTTTTTCTTTTTTTTTTCAATAAAAGTAAAAACGCGTTTTTATCTACTTGAAGCGTCTATTACCTCTATGTGTCTCTGTATTATTTACATTCTCCTCAATAGTCTATATTCATCTAAGTAATCCAACAGTAGCACACACAAACAAACACACACATCAAAAAGAAGGTATATATATGTATACATAATTCAACAAATGTACGCTGCAATGTTTCTTATTGTATTGTAATTAAAGTACTTTTTATACGGTAAAACAAGTATAGAAGCGTATGACGCGACAGTGTTATTGTTATCGTACTTGTGCATATGAACTTATTCTTTTCTCTGTCATCATTACACATATAATACGATATCAAAAGAGAATCAATAGAACGTTCAATAAGTATTTACCCTGTGTGTGAAACAAGAAATAATTTATTTTTTTGAAAAAGTTTTATTTAAAAAAGAAAAATTGAATAAAACTTAAAAGTTTTTATTTTACAAACGTGGTGTAACTATTTTGCAAAAATATTAAAAAGAAAGAGAAAGACAGAAGGGTTTATTGAATATATAAAAACTTTTTATAAATTTTTGCACAAAATCTATTTATTACACAATTTAAATATTTTATTGCGCCGCTATATATATATATATATATATAGATCTTACATATACATGTTTTTAGTGGCGCGTTTAAGCAACAATAATTATATCTGTATATAATGAACGATAATATTTTTTAACAGGAAATAATAATCTCTTTCGATCCAAGTCTTAAGATTAAGATAATCTCTTTCAATCACTGCTGATCTTTTTACTATTTGCACAAAGAAAAGAGCAGTGTAGTTAACTATGTTGTTTTCTCAGCAAACGCAAGAATTTTTTTACACATTTACAGTCACAAAAATTTCCAACATAATAATACAATTTGTCATCACTTGTCGGGATATAAACATTTACGCGATCCTTGTAAGAATTTTCGAGATTAACAATCTAGGTTTGCAGTATGCGGGGGTGAGAGTGTTACAGGTGTCATGGAGGAAAGCGACCGTTCGATGGATTGTATTGCTGGTGTGTGTTGTTTGATCAACATGTGTCGCAACGATTGCGCCTCTTCGCGAAGGGTCACTATCTGCGCCTTCAGGATCGCGTTCTCGTGCTCCAGCATCGTCGCCCTCAGAGCAATCTACGCACACATAGTGTAAAAATATATACATACATAAAACTTTTCTCATAAAAACTGGCACTAATTGAAGATATGGCTAATATTATGTAAAACAGTTTATTAAAATTAGGAAATTAAGTTAATCTTTTTATTATCTTAATATTTATCTTTTATTATTTAGTGATCTACAACATATATACGTTTTTAGATTATTGCGTAGTATTTTTTTCTTTATTCTTGATTTATTTGTTCTTACGTGATCCTCTCTGATCTTGCGAGCATCTCGTGACTTTTTCGCTGCCTGGTTGTTCCGCTTGCGCCTCTCATAGTACTTCTCGTCCTTCTGGTCGTCTGGGATTGGTTTCTTTTCGCTTCTGGGTCTCTTGTGGAGGCTGGTTATGCCACTTGCGGTGATAAAGTGGCGGCTCATGACACCTGTTTTGTCATCACTATTATCGTTGCAACGTCACGGATTCATAAAATAAATAAAAAAAATATGTTTGTATAAACATAAAAAAAACTGCCCCGGGTGAGGATCGAACTCACGACCTTAAGATTATGAGACTTACGCGCTGCCTACTGCGCTACCGAGGCACTCGACGATAATTCGCTAATAAGGGCATAACTAATACAAATTTTTATATAATTCTCTTTAATACATGAGAGATTATTTTTTAAAGTCAAAGATTAAATTTTAAATCGAAATAGGAATTGCTTTACCTGAGGAAGAAGTCGAAAACGGTTGAGGCACGTTCAGAGACTGCACCAAAGGCGGCATCGCAGTTAAAAAGGGCGGTTGAAGCAGAGTTCCCGGAACTGAAAATGTCGTTGATAGAGAAGAGGATGTTAACGGTGAAGCTGGTGAATCTGTTGCAGCGGAATTCGATAAAATATCCGGCTCGACAAAGTTATAATCTCGTGACGGGTATGCTTCGTATCTGTACATATCTGATGGTAAACAAAAATTCAATTACATTTGATAATTATATTATTGGTTTTGTATTGCTAAATGTGAATAATCAACAACAGTATCTAGAGGGATAATCTTATTGCTAATTAAACTATCGCTCATTGACCGCCCCTGTGGCCTAATGGATAAGGCATCGGTCTCCTAAACCGGGGATTGTGGGTTCGAGTCCCACCAGGGGTATGTTAATTTTTTTTTATTTATTATTAATAAATAATAATAATGTACAAGTTTTTTTGTAACTTATACACTCAAAAATTAAAATTTGCTAAAAATAAATATTTTACATTAAATAAAAATAAAGATGACAAAATAAAATAAAAATATAGAATATAGCTCAAGTAAAAGACAACGTGGTTTCAGATGCGTAATAATAAGCAATAATTTGTTATTATTGTTTATAAGAAACTAGAATTGTAACCATACACATACATATAAATATACACATATTCTCTCTCTCTCTCTCTCTCTCTTTCGACCTATCTATCTAGGCAATATCACCGAATTGTTATCTTCTTTTTGTTTTGTTTCTCTCATGATTAATTAACATCATAAAATGAAATTCCAGAGAATCGCTTGATCGATGGAAAATTTATTTGACACTTAGAAATTTTGCCAGCTAAAACTTTTACTCTGTACAGTTATATATATAATGACATGATTGTATGTTGCATGCTATACCGACAATGAAACATCGTAGTCCGTATGTCGTGATAATGTAACGACTCGTCATGTTTCGTGCGAAACTGCGCAAACAGCGTCTGTGCAAATTGCTGAGACTGTTACAGGCTAAGTCATAAAATTTACTTAGACATTAACTGCTTAAACGGCAGTTAGAATTTTAGGAAACGAGAGCGAATGTAATAGCGATGGTAGAAATAAGACAATCGGTCGTAATGAGAAACATGCTTGCGTAAAAAATAAAAAAAAATTTAACAAGTAAACAATATATTTTCAAATAAACAACAAATTACTCAATTTGATTTAAATTTTACATTTATTATGCTCTTTAACACGGTATGCTTGTTAAGTGTTAATTATTGATTATTTATTTATTAATTGTGCAACATTTATTGTTGAAATTTGTTTGAATGATTACAACAATATTAAAAAATGAGCAAAACAAGCAAAAATTAAAGAAAAAAAACCTCCACCGTGACAATGTTTTCACATTGCCGTGACCAGGATTCGAACCTGGGTTACTACGGCCACAACGTAGGGTCCTAACCACTAGACGATCACGGCTACTGGAGGAATTGAGAAAAGACTGCAAAATATGAGATATCAGACTAGATATCGGTCAACTTGTTCAATTATGCGTAACGAGAGAGTAAATAGAAAGTAAATCAATAATAAATGACGTGTTATTCTCTAAATATTGTTTAAACATCACTTAATCTAGTATAAAACATTAACATAACACAAACATTAACATAAAGATAGTTATAAATGTATAAAAATTAAAACACATGCAAAATTAGAATAATAGAAATGAAAGAAACTACGCGTTACATTGTAAAAAGATCGACATTAGTCGAAGTTTTTTAATTGTAATAATTTTTAATTTTTAGACAAATAATCTACAGTGAAGTTGAATTACCGATAACATTGATTTTTTCTCAGCTGAGAAAACTTAATATATATACTGAAATTGACTTACCTGAATTTGGAGCGAAGAGACTGTAACTTCGTAAGAAGTGCAGCGCAGAGAATGCGCTAGATACTGTGTTTCCGGTGCACATCGTTCTTGCATGCGAATGCGAAGTCATTTTTTGAGAGATATTCTTCTTCAATATTCAGAATCAAAATAATTTCCATGCATTTCTCCAATCGAACAAAAATCTTTCAATTACTTAACAAAGTTTGAATATCACAATAACATCAGACTATATTTTTGTGCATTTATCTAAATGCACATAAAATAATTGTTTAAAATCGGTTGAGGTTTAAATGTCGTTTTAGATATGTATTGTGCCACCATTGCCAACAATGCATCTCTTTCAATAAATTGCCGTTAGTTTTGATTGATACAACACACTATCATCAAAACTTTTAGAAATAATAACTAATTTTAACACAACGGGACTTTATATCCTTTTCAATTTAAACTCTTGAACTCTTCTTCGTTAACAAAGATCACTTGATCAGAAAATCATATTACGAATTTGTTTCCTCGAGAAAATACTTTCAACTCTCGGAAGAGACGAAGGGAAAAACACGGCGTGAAGAACTGTCGGACTTACAACTTGGCCCAACTACTAGCCGAACTTAGAGAGCGATGACGCGTTGCGTCACGTCACGTGTTGCAATGTCTACGAGTGTGTGTTACGCGCGAGAGCCGCCAATTCGTCAGGGTGCGGGATGCTCCGCCTTCAAGTTCATGCGCACTGACCGCGCGATCAACCGATTTGCTGCCGCCTCATTAGCGGCAACCAGCCAGACACGACTGCTGGATTTCGGAGAGGGAGACGCAGGCGGCGCGGACGACCGACCAATCGCGGTATGTCATTTCTCGCGATCGCTCGTCGTCGCCGTATCATCGAAGTGGATCTGCAATCCACGGCATAATAGATCACACGAGAATGTCACACCAGCTACATGCAAAAGGCTACGTCAAAATAAATAACCGACGACAAGAGTTCTATAATGTTCAGTGTGTGTAAATGGCAATAAATATTAATGTATTATCATTTATTTTGCTATCATAAATTATTGAAATAAATGTTGAACGTGTTGACGTTCAAGAATCGAGTAATTTATCTGCAATTTGTATAATAAAATGGAGATTAGATATAATTTATCATTTGTGTGAAGCAAACGTTTTAAATAATATTCCCATTATATAAAAAAATAATTTAATTTATATTGTAAAGAATAGATAATTTATATTTATGTATATTTGCAATGTGTATTTCAAAGCTGGTTTTCTTACTTTGAAAGGATTCGCTTCGGACACAAACAACTCGTGTCTTTAAACCGAGGCTAATACATAAGTCACGAACGTGATAATAAAAGTTCTACGCCAGAGCGCGATGTAAAATATTCATCGGCGCGAAAGAATAACGAGCAGTCCCGCAATTTCAAGTAACCGAACTGATTCAGATCTTCCAATCATTACGCTCGCATTATCAACGATTCTCGTGGTTCATCGCTCGACAGTACAAGTCGCGGCCACGCGATGATCGCCAGCTCTTATCGCGTACACGCATCTACGGCCTCGATCTGTAATTCTTAAATGACATATATAATTTTTAAAGTTACTTGTCACTTATTTCTCATCGCGTACATTATCACGTTTAATACAAAAACACGAAGAGAAAGGAAAAAAGAGCGAAACATACTCATCGCAAAAAATGCTATGAACACTAACGTAAAACAAAAAAGTAGAAATACACATCAAGTTTCAAGAACTGTAAATACAAAATTTTTGAGAAAAGTGCTCTGCACAGCGAGCTGGTGTTGCGAATGATTCGGATCACCGAGGAAGAAAAGTCGTGACATTGCAGAGAAAAAGGAAATCCGCGAGGTCGAACAATTGCGTGGCAAGTTTGATCGAATCTGGTTAGGAAAATTCAGAAACTTTCAGGCACACACAGGCGAGGCGAGCGATTTAAACGGGGCGATTCTTCAGGCCGCGGCGCTCTATTTTCAGAAATTACGATCGTCTTCCTTCGTCCTTCTGGGAGACTTGAGGCGGCGGTGCAGGTGCGAGTCTTGCACATGCGAGAAGGAGTAGAACGCGGCGTTGTTGTATGCAACAGCACACGCGTCTCGCGTAAAGCACACCGTTACACACAACCATCGCACGTGTATGGACGTGCCTTTCTAATGTGTCTCTGGGACAGTCAGCACCTGACACTTTCACGTTACCTACGTATACGAATGTTCAATGCGCTGCCAGTAATTATTATGAAGTAAATTAGCAACCGGCGTGTGCTGTATTAGATGCGTCCTTCTCTTCTTTCCATTTGTTCCTGTATCCCTCCCCGACAAAAACCTTCCCTCGATCTCATTAATGTTGCAACTCCGGCCTCAGTCCTGTAATTATCCTCTAGCTAGCGATTAACGGTCAAGAGATCGATTACCTTCGCGTTGCGATCGTGTTGCGCGAACGCGTGTTTCGCGTCCTTTGACCTTTGCGCGTGTACGATCGCGTTGTGTGGATTGTTCGGAAAGTTCGCATAATCATTTTCCAGTAAACAAGAAATCGCCACGAGAAGTTTTCCATCATGTGTGCTTATATGCGCACCTCGAACGCGAATAGTATAATGAGATGATGCGATAATTGAGAATCGCGAACGTTACCTATTCACCTGAGCGCGATATCGTGGAACTCGTCGAAGGCCAAACATAAATTTAGTTTCCGACAGGGCACGCACGGTCGGGTTAAATAACGTCATTTGGTATCGTAATATCTAATTTACTGCGCAAGAGGGAAGGAAGAACGGACCCCACGTGGTTGTGATCCCACGACGCCGGAATTACAGGCGCCTTCGAAACAATCGGGTGTTCCTCTTCGCGTGAGTTTGGTTTGCGCGAAAGATCAAACGCGTCCTGGTGTTGCCGTAAAATTTTTTGTGTTCTTCAATTTGTAAAGAAATAAAAAAACACTTTATAAGATATAAAAATCAAAATGTGTTTAACAATGCTTCGGCTCACCTTCTTAAAAAAATAATTAGAGATCGCAATTGAAACAAGAATTTAGACAAAATATTCCAGTCTACTTCGGAAACTGATTTCGAGCCTAAAAAGTGCGCGTTCTTCTTTCGCTTTTCGTAAAAAAAAAAAAAAAACTACAATAAGCTTCACGAGGATCGATCGCGCTACACGTGGGTATTACGAAGCGCGCTTCTTGTCGCCCGGTCGCTCGGATGTGCTGCTCGTTATCATTAAACGCTGGCTGGATTTGTGCCGATAACACGGGCCGAGCACTTCCGCGCAGTCTTTGCCCGCGATCGGACTTGGTCGTGCGAACGTGAACACCTGTCGGCGACCACCAGGTAACGTGACATCACATCACGTGATGAACCGACAAGCTGGCAAACGCACCCCCGGATCCACGTCTCTGACGACGACCCCGTGACGCGTCCCGCCGGTAATCGGTCTAATCGACGTTTCGAACGCTCACGCGGGCGTATATACGAAGAATTCACGTGTGACGAGTTTTGCTTTTGCGGAAAATTCCTAATTTTTGTTACACTCACGTGTTAGAATTTCCCTTCTATCTTGAAGGATATTCCGGCGTTATTATTTATCGTCAAATAATTAAAAATAAAAAAGTTACGAGAGAGATTTTAGTTCGACACAAGGAAAAATAGCAAAAGATATACTTATAGTCTGACAAAGTCAGCGAACGACGTTGAAACAATTTAAAGCAAACGTTTGCCGTCACTGACACTCTCTTTTTCTGAATGCTGAAGAGTTATAACAAGCGTTTTCTCGCACGCGTTTTTCCTGTCGCACGAAAACGAGGTCGCTTCTCACACATCAAGTTTGTCGTCGTTGTGTGCAACTTGCAACAGGACAGCGCGGTATCCAAGGGGGTCGCGTGTCTGCCTCTTGGTTTCTTCCTCCCCTGTGCGGGAAGCACGGATTCTCCTTTCACCCTCGGCACGAAGTCGTGTATCGTGACGCCCGTTGTTTCACAACTTGGGCAAAGTTATCTCATCAAGTCGTCACGAGGATGGCCTCCCTTCCTCTATTTCCTATCCTCTTTTCCCCGCACTACCTTCCAAGTTCCGATTAAACTTTTCTTACTTTTGCGGCTCGCCGTATTTATCTCGCGCCGCTCTCCGCACCGCTCTCAGAACCGCAGAATCGTTACCGGGACTTGACTAATTAGAGCGGCGCGCTTTTCACGGCAAAGAAACGCGCTTGTGTATCTCTAATATATATAAAGCTCGCGCTATTATATATTGTTTCACTTTGACCCGATGGGTGCTAAGTCGAAGTGTGATCCGTGAAATATTTTTTATTTCAAGATACAGAAAGTCGGCAATAATTAAAATAATATACAAACATTTATTTATTTTCTTCACTCAAATAACGCAAAGTTATTTTGTTTATCTACTTATTTTTTTAATATACAGCTCCGACATGACGATGCGCACATGTGAACTTTAATGGCTGAACACGATAAGTGTGTTTGCCTGTCGAAGAAGGTAAACACATGCTTGTGTGCAAAGTGCAGAGTAGAAACTGATACACTAGAATCCTATTATTTAGATCTAAAGTAAATTAAACCTCAAATATACAAATTTAGAGTCCACTTGACTCAGAAAACCCAATTTCTCGGGTTTATTTTAAAAAGGTCGAGACATTAGTGACGTCAATATAAGACAGATATAAATTAATGAATCATGATGAGCAATTAACGAGTGTATTAACGGACGAAAGAAACGGCCGCTCGAGCGGACGAACAACCAAAAAGGGGAGGGGACAGAGAGGGCTAATCATTTAGACTATTTGCCCCCGTTAGAGAGCACGCCAGGCCGTCCACAGCCCTTGGGTTCCCAGAGCCGTCGGCAAATTGCGGCTTACCGCGCGCGGCACGGTTCTTATCCTCGCGCGCACTCGTCCAGGTAATTCTTCGACGGGGCCCGGCTCGTTCTTATCGGAAACGGCGTGAAACAACAAAGCGAAATCGCCCACACCAGCCTTCGGCGAGCGAGGAAAAAGTGGAGCGTGGTGCCTGCGGGCGCGCGGTCTTAACTCTCTTCTTCGACTCTCCACCCTCCACCTTTATCCGCGTAATCTTATTTTACCGTGTTAGTTTTACGAGGCGCTATCATGAATCTTATTACCGAGAAAGTTATGTGTAACTTTGCGCCACGGGGAAATCCCAAACGAGCTGCGGAAAAAAAAGAAAGATTTTTACGAGACAGAATAGATATTGCGCGCGCATTAATTATTATATAAAAATAAAACGTTGTTGCAAAAGATATTTTTTTTCTGATTGTTTTCCTGAAATTTCTTCTCGCGGTCTGTCCCATTTGGACAAACATGAAGGCGACATCGCGCGATGCGAGAAGAGAACGTGCGAGGAAATATTTCTAATACTGGAATATATCGTGGAAAACGTTCTGCCTAGACATGTCGGCGTTTTATTAGGGGAAGAAGTGAATATAGAAAAGCCTCTGTAATTTTATTGTTATCGGATCTATCGTCAGAGAAAGAGCGTTTATTGTGCGTAAATTTGCACGTGAATAGCAAAAGTAATTTCAATCGCAATTTGTATACACAACCCGAGGAGCGTTCTCCAACGACCTCCGGGAAATCGTCGCAATTCCGTACGAACGACGACGTTACGAGCGTCGCTTCCGTGCGCAGCGCCAGTCACGTTTACTGACCGGCCGCGCTATTAATATTTCACATATTTCACCCCCTGCCTATTTTTCTCTATGCAGCACTCATTTACGCCCCCTTGTCGTGGGCGTTATTTCGATTGCAAATCGATACCAAGACCGCGAGTCACGGAAGACGATTCGCGGCTCGAGCTTTATTGAAATCCTTCGAAATCAACGGAGTCCTCTCGAACGGAATTGCTATTTGTATCAGTATTTTAGACATTTGTGTAACTTTGTTCGAAACTTTTTTTCCGAATGCTGCTGGAATTCAAAAGAGCAGCTCGTTTATGGCGACTTTCAGACGTTGAGACGCGCGTCTTGCGATATGTCTTGCGAAGATGACAGTTTTTACTAACCTTTTAGATCTAGACGGCGAATTAAATCAGCAATGAATTATAGAAAATCAGAAGCAAAGGTTAACGCTATAGTCAATGAAGTTCTCGACGAGAATCGAGAAGACGCGGCGCAATCTCAGGATTGCCCGAACGATTGCGAAGGATCTCAAAGTACGCCCAAGGAAGTAAGTTACAGAAGAAGTACTGTTGTACTCAAACAATAGCTATTTTAATTAAATTCTCTCATTAAGAAAATCTCAGTTGCTTTCAAACTCGTAATTCTCGAAGAAACAATTTCAAAATATAAAAGAGAGAATTTTCCACGAAATTTTTAGACCTTCCGAGCTTTTCCGAGAGCAATAAAAAAATTGAGAAAAAATTATCTTTTTTCATTTACAGATACCGTGGCAGTGCAAGTGCGGTATAGAGACCTCGTCGAGGTTCTCGCTGCGCGTGATGGAGGCAATGCGCGCGTTGCAGCGCGACGTGGATCAGCCGCCCACGTCCAGCGCCGAGGACATCGTCGACTACATCCGGGCCAACTATCGCAACGACGGCGATCTTTACGCACAGGTGCGGACCGCGCTGAGACAGGTCTGTTCTCAAGGGTTAGTTTTTTCTCTCGGCGAGATCTAGAACTCGGTCGAAGATCGCAAGAGAAGATGCCCGCGCGTTCCTCGCGTGTGAGGACGCGATCGCGCGTTTTCAAGGCAACCACACGTTACTGTATTGTATCGCGCAGTCTATCTCGTTACCAAGCTGTGCATCTATCGATTTCGCTTTAATCACGTACGTTGCTTGCGCTTGTGCGATATACGACGCGAAATTTGTATCAGTTGAATCCGACGTCTGAGAAAAAGCCGGTCTAAATCAAGGTTTTATCAACGCATCGCATTTCAATTGAAAGACACGATGTATTTTTACGTGACAGATTTGTCTTGGAGTTATTGAGAAACGAGTACCACCTGGTCGGTCCTGTTGTCAGTACAAAACGGAAATATGGATGCTCCCTAGATTGCGAAGGTCGCGCGGATCTATCAACGATGGACGATATTTCGAGAAGAAGAGACAACAACAATCGCGAAAACGGATCGCCGCGTCGAACTCCACGAACGACGTTCGAGGAATCGATCGACGAAAGAGACAACGCAGATCGTGGCGACGTGGAGGAATTCGTTCTTCGACGCGACCAACGACGTGACGAAGCGGAGCCGATACCGGGACCTTCTAGAGAATTCGAGAGAACACCTTCGCGAATTCCAAACGGCAAGGCAAAGAAAGTGCGATTGGACGATCAAAGGGACGTGCAACGTGCGGACGAGATGGAGGCAGATTGCGTCATCTGCAACGCCGAGGAGGATCGAGTTCCCCACGAACGTCCGAGAGGACGACCTCGTGGGAATCGACGAAGAAGAGGCCGCCCTCGCGAAAATGGAGAACAAGATGAAGAAAATGATGAAGAAAATGATGAGGAAGATGAAGAAAACGGCAAAGAGAATGAAGAAGATGAAAAAGACGACGAAGAAGAAAGAAAAGAGGAAGATGACGACGAAGATACGGACGATAGTGCTTACAGAGAATTGAAAGCGCGAGATTCTTGCGACAGAAACGCGGCGCGCGAACGAGAGCTGAAAAGATGGATCCAAAGCTGTCGCGAAGAATGCGAACGACAACGAAGACGACGATAATATCGCGTAAGGGACTGCGCCGAAAATCAAAACCAGATTTTTCGCTTTCTGAAATATCGTTCTATCGTTTCTGAGAGAAATCACCGTTGAGCTACGCGAATGTTAAAAATTCAATGATATCGCATATTGAAGCGCAAAAGCGCCAAGTATTTTTTTTTTTTCAACTGAAGAAGTAATTGTTGTACAAGTTAATAAAATATATGGATTAGTAAAAATATATAGTATTGATTTTGCAAAGAAGTATTTTCTTATAAATACGTGTTCCTTTCCTATAAAAACGCACACTTATATAAATGATGTTCATCAGTTCTAATTATTTGTTAATCAAATTTATTACAATCGAGCAAATTTCATCAGTCTCGCACAATGTACTTAAATTCTCTAGATGTGACACTCGACCGATCGTCCTCGTTTTCTTTCGCGCTTTTCGTGGGAAAGATTCCCAACTTTTTCGATACACGTAGTATATTGTTTCTTCGATCATTCGAAATCAACAGTCCAGATTGTAAACCGTAAATAAGCGCTTCTCGTACGTACAATTTCGCTTGCCTTCGTCCTAAGCAGTGGAAATAAAAAATTAATGATCTTTTTCTTTTTCTTCTTTTAATTATCAGCTTAAATGCCTGTATTTTATATACATACCATCGCGAACAGCTCTCGTGTAATCGGCAATACTTTTCTTCGACGAGCTTCGGAATATTCGTCTGGAAAGTGCGTTTTTATCCGCGCGCGATTTGAATTGTCTTTTATTTTCATCGAAACGTTCATCGCGGAAATTCGTTCGAGTCGGTGCGACTCGTCCGCCAATTTCTCTTCTTCTCACGTGCTGTCTCTGAAATTTATTGGTCGCGCAGTTTCGCTGTTTACACTTTTTGTCTCTCTCGGCGCATTGGAGCAAGTAATTGTACACTAAATCGTACACCGTCGTCGACTTATGAGCGTCCCATCGCGAAAAATTCTGTTCGTCAGTTTCCGCAGATCTATTTGCCAAATTATTAGAAATAAATAAATGCAACTTTGTTTTATACAACCGATATATGCATTAAAAGTAATATATGTATATATGTATATATATATCGCTTTATTTGACATATTTTAATCTTTTGAACGAACAAATGTTGCGATTTCTCAAACTCTAATATTATAGTTTGCTAAACCTCGTCCTCCATTCACGTTCGAATTCAATACGTTGGCTGCGCATTTTGTTCAGGTTGTTAACGCGGAACGTCCAACTTTCAGTTACAAAATGGAAGAGAATGCCGATGTTACATTTAAAAATCACTTCTTTTTATGCAAAAGCGAAAGAAACCAAAATTTAACGGTGTAGTGACGATAAAAGCAAATGCGAATACGTATGAAGTTGCACCTTTCATTTTTATTATCTGGTCATTATTACTGCAACTTCATGTGTAAAAGTACTTCGTGTAATTTATTGTTCTTTTCTTTGCTCTGTTCTATCCTCAGCTTTATCTAGATGATATGAGAATATCTCCGAAATATTACATATCATCGTATTTCCAATTTCCATTCTAATAATATATACAATCACATACATTCTGTACGACTATATATACAATCACACTGTGTTTGCTTTTTTTAGTGTTTTTTCTTTCTCTCTTTCTGTTTTTGTGTTTTTTAAATATCCCTAATATATATGCTCTATGCATCTATATATCGTTCTAATATATACTACACTAAATGATAATATACATCAATATATATATATACAACGCATAATATATATCAGCTTCTAAACACAGTTACATAGTCATACGTACCATACACGATTATATATGTGTTATTAAAACGCATATGTATAGACAATTGTAGAAAATTTTACATATTTGTTTTGTATTGTACATAAATAAATATAAATACAGATAATATATAAATAAAATTATGTATATGTAAATATAAATTGTGAGATATAAAACAATACTAGAATATTATATATTATACATATTTATATTGTATCACACATTAAACTGTCTATACATATGTTGATTTTATATATATAAATTTATATATCAATGTTTATTTATACTAAAATTATATATATGCTGTTTATATCACAAATATAACAAAAGCGCGTGATCGAGCATCGGTAATTACGAAATCGAGACACAATCGCTCTTATCTTTTGTTGGTATAAGTTGCATTTCAAAGAGACGTTACAGTTGCAAAGAAACGCCTTCCTAGGCGTTGAAGTCGCATCGGTTTACATCATGGTTGCCTTACGACTGCTCCAACTGTCAACGCCGATCAATTAGCGGCATAATGTCCAACAAAGTGAGTGTTTCGCAAGTGTTTTTGATCGTGTCAGTGCAGAATTAATCGCATATTACATTCTCATTTTATGGAAGAATAAATCAGCGAGTTGCGCGTTCTCGTTTGTTTAAATTAATTGACGTAATCGCACGGGCGAATTTGACATTTCACACGGTCAAGGCTTCTTACACACGTCAGCCTCGGAATTATTGACATTTCTTGCCAAGCTGCATAAATGTCAATAAAACGTCATCATCGCAATAACGCGCGACTTCGCAATATAGATATTCCGGCAATTTTATTGCCGGTCGCAACCGCACAACTATACAATACGCTTATTTTATTAGTTATAAACTACGCGCACGCGACTGATGGTCTTCGCAATGTCTTGTTCACTATGTATTCGTGATATAACAATCTTGCGATTACTTGTTATCTATATAATAATTTATTTCTCTTATCTCATCTTTTGCAATATAAGTGAAAACAACGGCGTAACAAATTTGTTTTTCAAAAATATAATTGATTCCACTCTCATTTAATTCTTATTATTCATTTGTCAAGTACAAATAAAATTGAATTTAAAAATAAGTAAATAAATAATAAGTTTTAAATAAAAAACTTTGTTTCATCTCAGGGAACCATCAAGAAAGCAGAACCTAAAGATGAAGCCAAGATACACAAATCAAGATCAAAAACTACATCTGGCAACGAAAGCAATGCAGAAGCACCTAAGAAAGCAGAGCCTAATCTTTCGAGAAAGTCTCGGACTGTTGAACACAAAGGCGACGGAGATAGATCATCTAAGCAGCTACAAAGGTCCTTGACAAGTAGAATGCAATCGACTAGAACTACCAGTAAGCAATCCGCTGGATCTTCTCAGTTCAAGACTGATAAGCAAAGTCTCTCAACAACGAAATCTGGTCTGATTAAAGCGTCATCTTCAACATCGAGATCTAGTTTAGTCAAAGCTCCATCCGGTAATTCTGTAACGAAAACGAGTACAAGCTCCAAGGCACGATCTGAGAATGTCGCGAAGTCGAGCGACGACAGTGTCGTCAAGAAGAGAAAATCCAGAGAACAGCCGGGTTACTCCGAAAAAAGAGGTCTGAGTACGATATACATACCGAAGTCGACCGCGAACAAGCTTAGCGTTAAGTCCAACGAGAAGACTGTTCAACGGATATCGAGAAGCAAAGAGAAATTGCAAGATTCGTCTGTAGCGAATCAAAGCAAGTGGCGAATGCCGTCCAGAGAACGTAGGAAATCTCGAACGTTGAGTCCTAGCGAGATAAAAATGCTGCATAGCGCCATAAAAAGGCCGGATGCTATGAATAAAGTGACGCAGAAGAAGAATGTCGCAACGGATAAGCGTTCCGATAATGCGCAGTCGGACTCGGACAAGGAATACGATTATGAAGATGATTTTGAGGTAAAAAACACGAGAAGAAAAACTCAAAAGGTTCGCTTGCGTTGTTTACACTTTTTTGGACCTTATTTTGTTTTCTTCTTCTTATCAAAGTACGAACCTTTTGTTTAAAAATCGCAAAAAGTATAAGCAACGCAAACCGACCCTAAGGCACTAAAAAGACTATTTTTCAATTATATTCAAGAGCAAAACTTTGAAAATCAGAATACGAGATCTTGTTATTTTATTTTATTTTTTTTTGTTTTTAGGATTACGAGTCGGATTTTCAAGAATGCACCGACAGCGAGACTTCCGCGATCAGCGAAAAGACAGACAGCGGCGGAAGCAGTCCCCATTTGGAACCTATTGAACTATACAGTCGAGAAAAAGTATTATTGTCTATTTAACATGAATCACGTATGAAAAAAGAGATGCATAGTATTAAAAAGATACTTTTTAACACACAGAGAAGCGCAATGAACAACACTGAACATGCGAAAGCCGAGGAGGAACGCATGCTCGACTCGGGGCATTACGATCTCGCGGAAGCGAGAAAACGGGCGGCGCGTGTAGAATCAATGTTTGTAAATCAGTCCAACACGCCGCCGTTGCCCGAATTAAGAGAGCCGATTGGCAAACCGTTTAGGTTCGTGATAACTAAAATCAAATATCAAGAAAAATAAATAAAAAACACATTCACACATTTTGTATTATTTGCACCCTTGTGATTGTTTGATTGTTTTCTACGTGTGCTTTTTTCTGAAATGAAACATTTGTTTGTCTAAAAAATAATAATAAAAGAAGTTTAATTTTTTTATTAATGTTTTACGCATCTATTGAAGCAGCGACGACAGACTTGTGGAAACCAAGTCTCTGCCGTCGTCCACCGATGAGGGTTTCGAGGACAGTCGCTCGGGAGACTTTACGAAATCTCCGCCGTTATCGCAAATACCGTTCATTGATTTTCGTAAAGCGAGAGAGAATCGACGTGAAAAGGTAATATTTACTATTGTTATTAATATATAAGAAAAGTCATATATTAAATGTAATAAGTTAGTCTCAAAATTGTTCCATATTGTCTTTTTGCAGAATTCGAGAAAGTCTCGAAGCAGAGGCGAAGAACTCTTGGAAATGATAAAGTTAGATTTTATGGAATGGTCGATCTTGGAATGCAGTCCCATTCCTTACGACGAATTTATAAGGAATTACGGAAAGCTTAATGCTCAGCAAGTAAGTAACAATGCATATGCGTTCTGTCTTGTAAAAGTGCAAAGTCGATTGTTACGCGTCGCGTTTCACACACAGGTCTTCACTCAAACTGGCGACGATAATACGGATATCGAGATTCAGACAGACGAGATCCTTCACAGGAACAAGTGGACGCAGTTCCCCGTAACTTGTAGAAAAGAACTGCGTGATAAACGAGACATAAACTTGTTCAAGATGGTAATATAAGTTTTACTGATAGTTTTAAGATGCAATACTTTGACTTTTGAGAGAAAAGAATATATGTCGTCGTCTTTTTAAATTTCGTAAAACTTTATATGTAGGAACAAATTGGCGTCGGAAACGACTTGGACGAGACGGATGATATAAACTTTGCGTTACGACCGTCGTACGATGTCGTGCGATTGAATGACTTTCTAAACCGCGCGGGCACGGTCCTGTTATCGTTGTTAGAAGAAAGAAAACACGGCGGTACCGTTTTTAAAAGCGACGTGGACAAATTATTGTTCAGCAATGGTTTCGTGAAGCTCTCCGTAGATTCAGTAACTTTCTTAGCTGCTAGGTCGGTTAAGATCGTACACTATTCGAACGCTTTAAACAAAGTTCTGCTCACTGTTCACGCTCCTGTAGAAGAGGTATAAATGGCTACTTACTCGTCGTCAAAACGATAAAATACATATATATATCATTATATATAATATATTTGTAATTTGTATATATTCCAATATAAATAATTTGTATTGTATATATAATTAATATATAGTTTATATAACATATATTTATAACTATATGTATTATATATAATTGTATAAATTATTTATTAGTTATATATAGATAAAATATTTTTAAACAGGAGATAGAAACCGTGAGCAGGCAAGATTACATCACCGACTGTTGCATCGGATGTGTTTGGAACATTTCGGAGCCGTCGATGCCGAAGAAACTGTTCTATTCACAGAGTCCCATTACTGCCTGTTGTTTTCATTTAACAAATTGCAACGTGATATTCGCCGGACTCGAGGATGGGTACGTAAGTTTGAGTTCTCTTTCAATGTTTTTTTTCACGTTTTTTTTGTTGAAAGATTAAAAAGATCTCAATTCGTTAAAAAATGTAAAAACATTTGAGGATTTAAAGACCATCATTAATTTAAAAAATAGATCGCTGAGTCTTTGGAACTTGAAAGAGGACGCGATGTGGCATCAGAGAGTCACGGACAAGGCCAACGAGTTAGATTGGGTGATAAGAATGCCTACTTACACGACAACAGCGAACACAGAAGCGGATGCGCATACGTCCCAAGTTATTGCGATACGTGTGTTGTCCAAGATCGAGACTGCTTCTGTTAAAAACGGAAGCAACAAGTTCGTGCCTATCCAGGTTACCGTCACAACTTATTGAAACATTTTCTACGTTAAAATGTAGCTCTACTAATACTCGCTTACGCCGAATTTAACAGATATGTAGCTTAGATGAGAACGGCTGTCTCATAACGTGGAGTGTCGTGCATAGAATGGGCATAAACATTGACGACTTGGGACTCTCTCATTGGGGTGACATAAGACTTGTGAAGAATCAGAAAGCGTTATTAACGCAAAAAGACACAGAAATGTAAATTTCGATATTCTCTAATTCGTCTCAGTATTACGTTCGCCGAAATCTAATTGTCTGACTTTCTTCTAGAACGAACTTTGTCGATATGCATGTAGACAGCGCAAACACGAATAACATTTATGTCGCGACTAACAGCACCGATGTTTTGCATGCTACTTGTATCGGCAACAGAACTAATCCATTAACGTACAAACCAGCTAAGATAAGTGAGTCATAGTTTCATTATTGTTTTGATGTTGTTTTGAACATTCATCATTATAATATATGAAACTTATGTATATATAGTTTATGTCAATTGTATTAAATATTATAGGTGAGTGCGGCAATTCTACTTGCATCGACGTTTGTCCTTTCGGTCAATCCTTCTTCTGGGTATAAATGATTTCTATCTTTTGTAATCTATTGTCGAAATCTCATTGCTTTTTATTCTCATTGATTTTATTTTTCACGTCACTTAGGTCGGCTGTGACGACGGAACGATTAGGCTTCATCATTTGAATATTCAAAGACCAATCGTGCAGCTGAAAAACGAACAATTCACAGAGAGGATTAAAGTTCTAAAATGGTCAAAAACAAAGCCGCTGACGATATTTACTCTGGATGACAGTTCTCGGTGAGATAGTCTAAAAAAAATATGTGAACTAAATTGTACACATATCAGTAAAGATATAAGAAATAAACAAAATATTCAATAGGATTCACATATGGGACTTAAGTAAGAGTGATATCAGTCCCCTGTATACGGTGTCTATGCAAAAATGGGGGAAAATAAATAGTATGCAACTATCTCCGTGCATAATGGACAAGGACATGACAAATCAATATCTGGTGAGTTCAGAAAACTAGACAGATTATAGACGGATTTGCTCAAAAGAGAGAAATGTGAATTCGTAACTTCAATATGTTGTTTTTGTCAGGCTCTTGGAGCGGAATCTGGTGACGTAGTGATACACAAATTGAAGAAAGATTTCTATTACACAAAAAAAGAAGAATTTTTACAAGAGCTGAGTATATTTTTGCGATACGTTTCAGTTTCATAAGCGAGAATTAAAAAAGCAGATTGACGAAAACAGAAGTTTAGAGGCATTCTGAGAGCGAGAATAGAATATTAAATATAAAATTCGCTGTCTAGTATTTATACATATTAATGATCAGGAGAGAATTGGAGAGAGAGACTCACTTTTATACTTCCAATATACACATGCACGTGCAATGTAGATAACTTAGATAAGTAGTTTTTTTAGATAAGTAGTTTTAACATGAATTGAAACTATTTCGTATATTCAAGTGATATTTGTAATTGAGACGAGAAACAATCCTCTTGTATCTCGAAGCTGCAATTTTATAAAATTAGTAAGAAAAAACATCTAACAGAAATCGCTTTTGAACATATCAAATAATTATTGAAGTTTTCGAGAGTGTATACGTTCAAGACGTTGCAATTTTTGTATACCTACTTTTACAACAGTGTAATTTTGTGCGCACTTGTTCTTATCTTTCTATCGCAATTCCGTCCGTCAGAAAAAAAATAAAATACCGTCCATTAATATAGAAATATACATATAAAATAGTTTTTCTAAACACATTTATATGTATATATTTATATAACGTATTGTATAAAATTTATCGTAATACAAATAGAAGAAACGATAAATGCAGAATAAGAATTTGTACAATAAATATACATATACAGCCTAACTGATTTAATATCACGATTTGTCGTGTGCGAAGAAGAGTTTCTTAATTAGTAACTAATCTTCATCAATCTAACAAAATGCAAAATATTGTTTTGCGTCCTTAATTGTATCGTAGATACTAGTTTTTTTTTTTTTTTTTTTTGTATTACATGATATCACGCGGAATAATTATTTTATTTCGCTATTTCTTATACTATTTTATCAATAGATTTCACGGTATAAGTATATATACTTATCTATATATGTTTTAAACCAAACACATCTCTCATATATACATATATATAATATATGTATATATAATATATATTTATACTGTGTGTATGTCTACCGAACGGGCGGTTCGACACATGTTGGATTAATCTCTAAATTAATTCAACTATCATCATACAGAGACAAATAACTAAGAAATAGAATATATTTGTACTTCCTGAGTTGCAATAATACTGCTGTTTCACAATATTCTCTACTATTGTGTCGTAGCTGAAAGATTTTATCATTTGATAAGTTTTTAACTCCAAGTAGCGTGTGTCCTCCTGCAAAGATACAAAATTTGTCAATATTTTGAGCGTGTCTATCATCAATTTGTTCTGTTTAGTACGTTTTATCGTCAGAAATAAAATAACATCGCGTCAGTTTTAATTTTTCAAGTGACATGTATAAAAATACGTTTTTGTATCGCGTACAAAAATTTTCTGGTTTCTCGTTTGCTTGATTCTTATTCGATAGACGCGTGCGCGCGTTTCAAAAGATATACTTTTTAAAAAACCTTTAAGGCTAAGGAGCAAGATGAAATTTGCAAAACTTTAAAAGCACCGAGTTAGTGACATAATGTGCGATTATTGTGCCTGGATCGCTGAGATCTTGGCGAAAATCGATGCCACGGAGAAAAAAAAGCCACTGCGGGCAGATCCGGTAGTAATTGTTCACGGAGGTGCCGGCAAAATTCCCAGATATGCGCGGAAGTTTATGCTCGAGGAGGTTACCACTAGTTTAAGAACAATACGATCGTTCTTACTGAATGAAAGAATGAAAAATACGACAGACAAAAAATTGTAGGTGAAGAAAGCTGCCGTGGCGGCGTATTGTGATCTAATTAAAGGACGTTCTTCGCTGGATGCGGTCGAGCGCGCGATTCGTCACTTGGAAAGGAAGAAGTACTTCAATTGCGCGTTCGGAGGCTCTTTAGACGCTAACGGGGAGGTCGTGATGGATGCTGCGATCATGACGGACGACTTTCGCGCGGGTTGCGTGGGCGCCGTTCGAAACATATCGCATCCCATAACGTTAGGTTTACTGTGCATATCACAAGTCTTCGCGCAACCTGTACTGCGATAAATATATTTATCTGTCTGATGATCCGCTCAAAAAATTCAAAAACAATCTAAAATACTTGTAGCCAAAAAAATTTTGCAAGATACGGAACACGTGCTGATAGTCGAAACCGGAGCGCAAAAACTCGCCTTGGAGTCGGGGATGCCCAATTTGTCGTCCGATCAGCTGATAGTAACGTCCGAGTCGCAGACGTCGTTACATGAAGAGGAGGATGACGGTAAAAATAGAGAACTAAAAATCGCGGAGCTATTTGAAAAAGATATTACAATTACAATTTTAATAACAAGAAGCGAGAAAAATGGAAGAGCCTCTGCGAGACGAGAACGAACGATCCAAAAAGGATTGTGTTCCAGGATGCGCGATCGAAAGAAACAAAAAAATGAAACGATACGAGGAAATACAAAGTCTCTTGGAAGTGATCTCCTTCACAAAGTTGATGGAATCTTTCGAACTGGACTTTAATTTTATACAGGTATTTAACACAGAAAAATGTTATAACAATCAAATAAGACACAACGCACTGTCTGTGTCAATATTAATTTTGAAATAAACTATTAAATTATTTCAAAATTAATACACAGAGTAATCTGCAAAGTCAAATGATTTTGCGGAGAGATACTTTTATTTGTGATAAACAGTTGTGAGATTCGAAAAAGAATAAAGAAACGCTCTATCCCAGGTTGGCGCGGTTGGAGCAGTGGCGTATGACCGGAAGAAACATCTCGCCGCTGGAACTTCCACGGCCGGCGAATCGGGAAAGCTGTACGGAAACGTGAGCGCGACCGGCACAACAATCGGCTGTGGAATTTACGTTAACGAGGCTGGAGCTGTGTCCGTCTCGGGTTGCGACAAAGCTATTTACAAATATGCCCCGGCTAATCAAATCTTGCGACGATTACAGTCACAGCGGAAATCAGCATCGTCTGACCAAGTGCTTTCTGCGGTGTTCAAGAGTTTCGAGATAGAAACCGGAACGACCGACATAGGAGCGATCGCGCTGACCGCCAACGGGGTGCCGTCGGTGTCTTTCAGGTGTCCGCATTTTCCGTGGGCGTATTGCGACAAAGGTTACGTCCACTACGGATGCGCGAGACACGAGAAGTTCTTGGAAAAGGTCGACGTTGTCGAGCGACCACTGGATTGCGTGTGCGACGAAGACGCATCTAACTAGTTTGAATGTGTGCACAGAATGTCAAAATAAACACTTTTCACTTTACTTGTTCTTTAAAACCCGTTCTTTTCATTTTGGTGAAACAATTCTTGAATTTTATTTTGTCGCGGGTCTTATATGATATTTTTTTAAGTATTGTTAAAAATCTTAAAATTAATGTACGTAATACTTTTCTATTAGAGACTTATACTCGTTTAACTTACGGGAAAGATAACGCCGCTCTTATTGTCGAATGGCCCATACATCGAGAATGCGGGTGTTATTCCGTTGAAGTTTTCTCCGAACAGCTTGTCCATTTCGGTCAGCATCGCGTAGATCTCCAAGTGTCTTGTACTCGTGATATTTTCATACGTTACTATCTGTGAGAATAAAAAAATCCAAGTTTCTTTGTGCTCGTCAAAAGTATCTTTTTATCTCAAGTTACGGTCAAAAAAAAAAAAAAAGAAGAAGTTTGTACCGAGCCGAGTGACGACCACGCAAGCAGATACGGAGTATTTTGTTTCAAAGTGTCCGCCACGGTCAGGCCTAATGTTCTGTACTTCGGCATTCGGTTCACGATCGTATAATCAAACTTGTCGTGATAAAAGTCACCTACAAATTCGAAGACGTTGCACACGCGTACAAATAATACAAAACCAATAAGCTGAAAATGATTAAAATACTTTACTCACCGGCTTGCGTGTGATTTTCTATGACTTTTAGATTGACGAAAGCAACGTCGACAACATCAGAAGTCAAGTAAGTAAAGGCGGTCAAATCGCTGGCCGTGGGCATTGCTAAACACGCGAAGAAAATAAGTCTCGATTATTTTTAGACGCGATTACAATAACTTAGTTAGTCTGAGATGTACACACGTTTGTATTGTACATATTTGTATCTTTACAAACTTAGTTGATACTCGTTTACGAACATCACATACTTAATCGTAATTTTGTATATCTCACCGGAATTGCACAAGGAGTACAAGTTGTTTGGAAGATTTGAAATTCTTGCACCGAGGACGCAGACTTGACTGAAAAATTTCGAAACAGCCACCGCGTCCGAACAGTCCCAACTTTCGTTAAAATTGTTCTTCATATACATCACGAAAATGTTCCAGTCTGACGAGAGATCGATAATGCAAACAGATTAGAGAGACGCATAAAATATATTACATACATATAAAGAATTTTAAAATATTAAATAAAATATTAAAGTATAAAAAACTTGTATAATAAGTACAGTTATAAAATATTAAACTCATACCAACACTCCTGTAGCCTGTGAAGACCGCTTTCGCGCCTTTAAGATCCAATATAGTCTTAAACTTGGAATTCTCCTTGACTATTGCCACGATTCTGTTCATACCGTTCTTCGTGTTCGTCGTCGCGGAGATGATAGGTTTGAGATTCATTCTGCAAGAAAAGTTAATCTAAAAACTCCTAGAAGAAACATTTTTCTTCTTTGTCTGCGACATTCGCTTACTTTCTAGCCTGAAGGAGCTCCTCGGGCCGCACCATGAAGATGTCTACTTCTGCAATTTGCGTGGCCTCCATGCACATTGTTCTGCTCATCAGAACGCATTCGATCGTCGGTTCCACCCCGTATGCAGCGGCGGCCGCTTTCATCCAGTCGCATTTACGCTTCTCGAGAGCAGATGATACACACCATACTATCCCTCTAGAAGGTTGACAATCCGATCGAAAATAAGCGCTCAGGAAATTCGGGACTACGATCGAAGAGAAAGAGAAAACAAAGAAACTGTTAAAACTTTTTTTTTCCTACAATTTTCCTAAACACTTTTCTATAGACATCCCATATTACATCGATCTAAATAATCGGCAATTGTAATTATCTCGGGCAGTGAGTCTGACTCGATGTAATAGTCTTCTAGCAACTGCAACACACTCTGCACCCAGGGGATACTACGATTCGTCGCGTCTACAATGTGATTCATTGTGTTAGCGACATTCTCGGCAACCGTTCTAACAAGAAAAAAAGACGCTTGATCATTGGTTTTTAATAGTGCATATCTATACACAAGATAAAAAGCAACGTAAATCCTTACTTTTTAGCTATGACAACCGGCCATGGTTTCGATATCCACGAGCAGATTTGGTTAAAGTCGAGCGGTTTCGTGGTACCGTCTTGGCACAGAAACTTATAATCTGATCTACGAACTGACTCGGCCTGCAGTAAAGACATTGAAATGCGAATGAACAAGAAAAAGAAGAATGAGAAAAAAAATACTATCATATCAAGAGTAATAAATCCACTTTTGTAGCAACCTTAATATCTAATTTCAATATAATTGCAATTGTATATTGACAATCGCGCAATAAGATTTGTTTAGATCGACGAACGAAATTAGTTCTTTCTGTGATACATGTACGTAGTCGAGTCAAATTAAGAAGCTGACCTGTCGGTTACCTTGAAATGCACCTTTGCGTCATCTAGTCTGGCCCAGACGACATCGCCCACGTTATCAGTGAGACACAATAAAGCGCCCTGTCGTCCGTAATATTTGTCGGTCATGTAACAACCGGCCGGATTATTACACGCGTCGCAGAGATTCTTGTATGTTGCTTCTGCAAACGGCAATGAAAGAATTTTCAATCATTTCCAAATCACAAACAAACAGTTCACGAGATACAATAAAAAAAAGTAAGTTGCAAAGGTACAAAGTTTGCAAATATTGATATAAATATTCATATAAATTACTTAAATTTATATAAAAATGTGTCACAACTGTGCACTTAAAACTTTTATTTTTTTAATTGAATACGCACTCAAGTAAAAGTCGTAAGTTTTGTCTGATGACCACGGACCAGCGACGCAACCTATCTCGACGTAGTTGGACAGAGCGTGCAATCTGTTTTCGAGCAGCGTGACATTAGATCTGCACTCTTTGCTGATTAACATGTTCTCGAAATACTGAAACGCAAAATAATCGAGTAAATTTCGTTCTAAGAAGCGTGCTAGTTAAAAAAAAAAGAAGAACACACCAACCATCGACAAAGGTTTGGTCCAATCATTGACTGTGGCGATGCCAGGATGACACAATCGTTTGCCTTCGATGTCTGATGCGCGTTGCACGCTTTTATGCGCTATGACCACTACTGCAAAACGTCGCTCTTCTGAAAAACAGAAAAGAAAACATTTGATATAGTCACGATCTCATCACTTGGAGATTGTAGTCACACATTTTCGCTAAAAGGATAAGTAAATTAGTACTGCGTGTCTTTCGCGCTCAATTTAATATTAATTACCATTTTTTAAGAGTCTTAACTCATTTGTGACTAGAACATCGAACAAGTTGTAGTTTCTTATCGCTAAGAGATCTTCCGGTTCTACTACGGTTAGATGTGCGTTGCCCTCAGTTACTTGACGTATACAATCAAACCTGTAGCATGAATTTTTTTATTTATTCTTTGTCAATAGTCAAATTGATCTTTTCGAGAAGGTCTCATCTCTACGTAAAGAAAGAAAAAAAAAAGAAAGAAAGATAAACAAAAACTTATCAAAAACAGATAATGTTTATGTGTGTCAACGTGTATTAAAGTTGTATGTTGTACAGAGACTTGTATACTGCTGTCATATCGCACATGCTTTAGCTAAACAATGAAAAAAGAGAGATGACCTTCTCGAAAAAGAACTTTTACATGTAAAAAATGATTTAAAATTAATGCAATGAATTTTTATAAGAAAAGTTCTATGCGGAAATCAAATTCACAGCAAATTCGATTATGCACGACAATACTTGCCTATCGGTTCCCACGGAACATGCTATTATACTATGCTGCGCAGCTAGTTTCGAACAAAGCAAACGAATTTTCTTCGCAGTATGTTTGCTTTCAACCACACACATCGTTACTGAAACATTTCAGGACTTAGCTGTTATTTTTTCGAATTTTAAACAAAGGAAACATCGCGCCATATTTTTCAAGCAGCAAATTAAATAACATTTGTAACGTATTAATAATAATTTTTATAATTCTCAAAAATTCGGCATGCTTCCGAGAAAGAATATTCTAGTCGATGATCGTCAAGATAATAACTTCCCGACTGTGTCTCATAACTCGCGTGTTGCAATTTGCTACTTAGCACTTTAATAGTTTAAGCATAATTAATGACGGAATTGAGATTCTTTTTCCGTGATACAACTTCCTCGACCAGTTCATTGTCAATCGTCATTTTCTTCGTTTAATCAAAACTAAATGACGAAAAAAGTTTTTTCTTTTAAAGTTTAGTTTTACTTACACTTGGAAGGGTTATCAGAAACATTGTTGTCTCTATAACTTTCTACGGAAACGATAAACGTGAAGATGAGCCAACAAAACATGAAGAGAAAATCCATATTCGTCCTTTCCGTTCTGGAGCTGCTCCTTTTTTGCGAACAGAAAATTCTTACTGTACAGAATTCTCTAAAAAAATCTAAATTAATGAAGTCACACTTTATGTGTATTTGTTATTGAGATTGCCACCGCAAAAAGATATATGTAATATCATGTTTTTACGCGTCGATACGCTTATCATATCGAGTTTTTCTGCCCGCGCAATGTAACAAAAATGCCGCGCGTTGGTATAATAGTATAATTGAAAATAATTACAATGAGTCGTTTCTCACAGCTGTCTTATACAAAGACGGAAAAGATAAAGTTTTACGTAATTCTAAATCTTATACTAAATGCGATATATTTTGCTGTATCATGGCTCTTCAAAATATATAATTTAAACTTTAACGGCTTTCAGTTCAAAACATTGCCGCGTCCTCTTTCAAAGACAACAAGTACAACAAATATCGAAAAAACACTTGACGACTGTATCATGTGTTGCTTTGCTGTGTAAAAGCTGCAAGAATACTATTGAAGCAATTATAGCTCAAGAAAAACAAACATTTCAACGTTTCCAATCCATTTAAAACAAGGAGAAGAACAATGCATGCTTCTCGTTTTCTATGTGACGTAACACGTAAATGCATCCTGTTCAAAATACGACCGGTTAATAGCATACTTTCGCTTTCGACCTTGAGAAACTTGTTATATATCTCAAGAAATATCTCTTTTCCGCCTAAACGAGTCCAAGAACCTGAAGAAGATCCGTATCAAAATCTTTTCCCGCACGAGTTGTTTTCCCCGAATTTTTGAACATAGTTTTTACATACATTCTGTTTAATATATTTCCCGGTGTATTTAATAATACATAATTATATGTGTGTGTAATTATAAAACTTTATAATTACGATGTTGTACGAACGTTCGTAATTTAATTAGAAAGTACAAGCCTCTCTGCCAAGTGGTGCTCCGTTTATTTTAAATGATCGAAGATATCCCAAAGAATCGTTTCTCGTTTGTTTCGTCATTTACCTTTTTACATCGAAAATCTCGTCTTCTCCACGTGGTGGGAAGTAAACACAAACGCGCGTCTCCCTGCTCCAGTTCGTCACGTGTTCAACTTGAAAAACTCACACGATTTGAAATATTCAACGCAACGTAAAACGAATTCGTTCGTGACACGCTTGCATTGAACTTGAGACTTGTGGAAGTTCCAAGGCAAGTGTCGCGGTATTTGCACGACGAATCGTTCGAGAATAAGCGTCTGACTGACTGTCGGCGACGACGGCGATTTGATTCGCACAGCTGACTATACCAGACTCAGATCCGGCTAAAAGTCCAGTGTGTCAAGGAGTTGAAATCATGAGATCGGGTGGGAGAGAGATGCAGAGAGACACCAGACGAGATTTGTGCGTAATATAATATAGTATATAAGATCGCGTATGTGTGTGCGTATATAGAAACGTATAAATACTGACGCAATTCGTGTGAAGATAATGTTGTTTGTTTGCGGCGTTTTAGCGACTTACAAAAATTTGCAGATTTATTTTTTCTGGAACTGCAGTTTCTTTCCTAAAAATTGAGAAAAATGGTAAAAATTAATATTTAAAAAATTGATACATCTTTTGCCTTTGTAGAAAAATATTTTTCTAAATTTATTGTAAACGATATGTATACGAAATAGTCGTGATCATCGTATGTCGAACACTCTCTATTATCGTATCGCTGAAGCGTATGGTATTTCATTTACGTCCAGATGATAAATTATCGCTTCAGATGATTAACTTCGATCGTCTGCAATGCATGTGATGATGCATTACATATGAATCATAAGCGAAAGCGATTGTGTATAATAAATCAGAGAAAAAACTTAGCTTAATAAACAATGAAAAAATAAATTTAATTAAATCAAAATTAAATCTAACTATAAAGCAGATCTAAATAGATATAAATAGATCTATATAAATTTACACTTTTATTTATTCTTAGATTTATTTTATATTTACTCAGATCTACTTGGCAGGAATTAAGTATAAACTATAATCTTCCACGTTATAGTCGATTTATGATAAAAAATTAATTCCAAAGACGAAGAAACAAATTTTTTCCGCCGGCACCACCTCCGATAAAAACTGTTTTACTCAATTCTTTTGAGAAAACGAAAAAATACAGTTTTTATCATAACTTTCCTATAACTGTCGTGCCAAGTTTCAAAGGAGAGACTACTATATTGTCTGCGTCGTAATGTCTGAGGTCGGCACTCTACTAGCGATATATTAGTATTACATATATGGATATAACATACAGAAGAAATACAGCAAGTTTTCATATTAATAAGAATTACTTAGAAACATTTTTTTACTCGGAATTTTCAACCGTACACAAGTTATTTAAGGAAAGGAACAAGGAATTAGCTGAAAGTGTTTTTCGGCGGAGTAATTGCGTAAAAATGATATAAATATATTCACTGTAAATTGGGTCTTCTTGCCGCGCGTACGGCGTGATCTTCAAAGACCTTCAAAGTAAACAAGCAAGATATATGTATAACAGAATATTACGTATATATAGAAGAACTGAAATGTGATAAAGAGAAAAAGTTTCATCTTTGCTTAGGGATTTTCCACATGTCGCTAATTGAACAAGACACTTAAATTGGTAAATCGCTTGACATAACGCGATAAATCAGCTGATCGTGAAACAAATTATAAAATTAGTCATTAATTAATTATGCGCTCTGATAACCAACGGGAATCTCATTGCGCGCGCAATGTATTATCGCACGGATATTATCGCTCGAAAGATACGTCTCGTAAAAAAAATTATTATCTTCATAATACTCATCTTATTGCATCGTTATCTCTCGTGTCTTCATCGAAAACATTTGCTGTACAAAATGCTACTCCTCTCACACAAGCATAGAATATGTATTTCCTAGTATTACGTCGTAAACGGTAGTGATAAAATTCAACGTGTACACACACGTGCATATTTGTCGCATTATCAAACTTTCGCGATAAACTCCGTTTATCGATACGAAGTACGGAATGCGAACATATCATCGAAGAGCTCATTGTAGGCTTCGTTTATCAAGATAACGAGAAAAACTTTATATAACGATCATGCTCGCATGATAACCATTCGACTCTCGAAACCAGTCTTCGAAAATTATCCCGCCGCGCAACAAGCCACGCAATTGAACTCCGCAAGATTGATATATACGTACGATCTCGATTGTCGCATACGCATACATCGTCGCATCGTCATCGCTCGAAAAAATATCTCTCTCGATGCGTAGCTTTAGATACATACATTCAGAGCGACACTTTGTGTCGCTGTATCTTATTTGACTTATTTTAGAAACTTTTTTTTTATCTCTCTCTTTCCTTTTCTCTCTCTTTGTCTCTTCGGCAAACACATACAATTCGTTTCAAGTGTAGAAAGTGCAGGCGAAGTGTCCGAAGCGAACGAATCTTATAAACGGTACTTTGTATTTATCTCGCGGATATAATTTCCACACTCGGTACTTAATATGCGGCCTATCGGACGGCCGAGAATCATGTGCGATCGAGAAACTGTTGTCGAAAGGCGGTAGTTCGCGCTGAACGTGGAAACGGTTTGAACATCACGCGTATCGAACGGACGAAGACTTCGCTGCCTAGTTCAGGTATGATCGAACCTGTAGACACAACGTGATTACGATAATCGCGATAGTGGATAATTGCGAGAGGCTCGCCGAAGTTGCGATTGTTGAAACGCATCTCATTTGTTGTGACAAGCGCACAGCTGATCGCAACCAGCGCGCGGCGCCATTTTGGAATCGATCAAAGTTCATTTCGAACGAGATATTTCGATATGTTCTGAATATCGAGTATTATATCACAGAGTCGGATCTTACATGTGTGTGTGAGATATTTTAAAATTATCTTCAGATGCTCTTTCTAGTCAATAAAATACCGGTTTTTTCCAGTATCCTTTAAGATGAACTTAAAAAAGATTTTAAATATAAGAGACCCGACTGCAACTGCGTTCGGCATTGCAGATCTGAGTCGTCGGAGTGTTTTTTAATTAACTGAATTAGCGTGAATCGCATAAACATGAAGTCGTATTTCAATGCACAAGTCAGTCTTCGAAAGCGCGTGCAATATTTTAATAAAATATTTCTCTCGATCAAATGATGATTGCAATTACATAATTATTAATATATATTTACAAAAAAGCAAGAGGCAAGTCACACTTCTTTGTATGCCTCTCTCTTCGAGTAATCCTACTTTTGCATCTGATTAATGTGATTAATTTATAGCACGACGCCAATCTAACAATGTATCTAACTTTCGACATCTCTACACGATAAAACGTAGAGAGAGAAACATTTGTTTGACACATTAGCTTGGTATCTTCATCCGAGTATAAATCATGAAAATCAATTACAAGCAGCTGCCTGTAAAGGCGCATTACTTCTTCTTTATGGCAGGTAAATTATATCGTAAGTCGCAATGTAGATCTTTTCTTTTTTTGCAAGAATAGTTATCTGAAATTGTATGTTGTTTTTGCTTAAAGAAATATATATATATATATAAATGCATGTATGTTCCGTGTTTTAGCTATGGGTCCTATTTTGCCATTTCTGCCGGTTTACGGCAAACAGCTGGGTGTTTCGCCACTGATTATGGGCAGCATCACCGCGATTCTGCCTATTTTATTTTTGATCGCAAAACCAGCATTTGGCTTTGTTGTGGATTACTTTCGCGCGTGGCGAAAATTGATCTTCATGGCATTGCTCGCCGTAACGAGCAGTTGCTACGTCTTCATGTACTTTTTACCGGAATTACCTGGCCCGTTACTGCCGGATCATAATTTTCAAAATGTTACCTTCGCGTCTTTGTTGTCTTGCAATACGGACTATGTGAGTTCTGTTTTTTTTTTTTTTTTTTTTAATATACATTAAATCTTTAATATTTCTGGTTTTATTGCATTTTGTTTCAATACAGACATTATTAATTTGATATCTACATAAATAATAACATTTGTTTATTTTCAAAGCATACTTCAGCAATGACATCGTGCAGCGGAATGAAAAACACCACGTGTCACTGGATATGCGAAAATGCGAATTTTTCCACGCGGATGTCTTTTTATACAGCTAAAGGAGAAGCGAGCATCTCGCCCGATACCATATGTTTCTTAAATATCAACGAAACGTTAGTGCATCGAGAAAACGTGTCGAATAACACCAATTGCAACGTTACTTGTGACAATTTTGACGACAACCATTGTCTGTACACGTCTGTTACTTTCTGGGGTTTCGTTCTTCTGATGTCTCTCGGTAATATCGGTTTCAATGTTTCCAATTGCATAAGTGACGCAATTTGCTTCGACGTCTTGGGTAAGAAATTTTATATATTGCAGAGACAAAACTATAAGACAGAAAAAATACAAAAACATACGCAATTACATGTGTGATCAAATATTTGCCGATAAATAACACATGAAAATAATAATTACATATAAAACAAATTTGTAATTAATATGTAACTTTTTTTTAGGCGAAAGCGGACAAATGAGCTACGGCAGGCAGCGAGTGTGGGGCACAATCGGTTTTGGTATTACGGCGTTTTTAGCCGGTTATACGGTAGATTTGTGGTCGCAAGGGGCGATCTACAAGAGTTACACACCGGCGTTTCTTCTTGTGCTCGTATTTACTTGTTTCGATTTGGTTTGCTGTAGAAAACTCGAGGTGATTGCATTGCAAAAAGAAACAGCGACGGAAGAATAATCTATTTCTTACGTCTCTCTTATCATTATTTATTAATTTACCTTCGTTTACAGCTGCCGCTAATGTCGCGATCGACAAGCATAGTGGAAAATGTATGGGCGCTTTTGAAATTAAAGCCTATCGTCATATTTCTATGTTTCGCCACTCTCGCCGGCATCTTTGATAGTTTCATAATTTACTTTTTGTTTTGGTAATCTTTTTTCTTTTCGACATCTTTTCGTTTGCGATCATTTTGACAGGATATAAAGAAATTTAAGCCGTTGTACAATGTGACTAATATATTTATTGTACTATTTTTTTATTTTGCGCTTCAGGTATCTGGAAGATCTCGCTATGGCGACCGGTTATATAGGAGAGATTAAATTAATAGAAGGTCTAATAGTGGCCGCAGAGACTCTTGGTGGCGAAATCATATTCTTCTCTTTATCCGGTACGAGAAATCAGATATATTTCGCTACATGATTCACTACATATACAAAGCCATTGTATTGCACCTGGAATTTTTTCGTGACGTGCTCACGAATTTGTCTCACTCTCTTTTTGCAGGCAAAATATTGAAAAAATTTGGATACGGTTATACTTTCACATTCTGTTTCGCGTGCTACGCGCTGCGGCTGGGATTAATATCTTTGGCGCCGACGCCATGGTGGGTGCTTCCGATAGAATTTTTTATGCAAGGTCCGACATATGCGCTCTGCTACACGACAATAGTGGCATACGCGAGCGCCGTATCACCACCCGGTACATCGGCCACTGTTCAAGGAATTGTGGCAGGAATGGACGACGGTTTCGGTAAATTTTCTGTTGTCAAATTATATAAAAAAAACTAGAAACAAAAACAATCTAATTGTTAAAATTATTTTTTATTATATTTGAAAAAAATCTATTATTGCTATTAATAACGCTGCGACATTTTCAGGGTTCGCGGTTGGCAGTCTAATAGGTGGTCTTTTGTACAAGAAAGTTGGTGGCGCCATAACTCTGAGAATATTTTCAATACTTGCAACATTTTCCGCCTTGATGTACCTTATTCTTCATATCTCATACTTAAAATATAAAACACCAGGTAACAAAAATAAGTAACTTTGAAATGTGTATGTCACAAAATTTTAGGAGAATATTACGCAAGAATGGAAAACTTACTTTTTGTTGCAGATACGCGAAATAACGTCGAGTGGAGAAAGCCTGAAGATGCGCAAAAACAGTGTGTTGTAGCAGAAACGTGACGCATGTGTGTTTTTCTGTACTTTTTTTAATAATTACCATATAATAAAAGATAGTCTTTATATATCTTAAAAACATTATGCGATGCAAAACTAAAAAGTGTAGATAGCACGTTCGATCCAAATTTATCGATTCAACTCTCGACCAATTTGAGATCGAGATACTTCGAGAGTGAATAAACAACACAAGTATCCCCCACTTTTTTCTATTCTTGAACTCTTTATCTTGGCTGCGTTCGTTTTTGACTGGCAGTACTGAAAATCTATAGATACATGTCACGTATACTATAGATTTTTCAGTATTGCCAGTAATAACCGAACAGGGCCCTTATCTTCTTGCTTAGGTTACACAACCTCAACGGCTCAACATCTAATAAATCCTGCGTCGTGTTGATTGAATGTTCAGAATTATATAAATGCGAGAGAGATTTTAAACAGAAGACTTTCTTATTACTATATAATCTTTCCGATAAAAGTGTAACATATAGTGCATTATAACAACAATGAATACTTTGCGTTTGGACATGTTACCTACCGAGATATTAGTAATCATTTTTGATTACTGCGACGTGTGCGATTTTACACAACTTGACCAAGTGTGTAAACGATTTCATCAGATCATACGCAGCAATGTGGTCTGGAAACAACACTATAAAAGGTTTCTCGTCACGAATCAAGTATCGGAACAGTTTCGTCAAAGGTATAATTTGATATAAATATAATTCTTTTGTTTAATAATTTGTGTGTGAAAATTTAAAAGTATATACTGGAATTCTTTGTGAATTTCTATGTTGTTTGTTTACACAACATTTTAAGCCTGAATTATATCTTTGGTCTCTTTTTCATGTTTCTAAGACATATTTGTACATATATTTATAAAAAACAAATTTGTACACACACATATATATGTAAAAGACAAATTTTTTTTAAGCATATACTCTCTTCCTCATAAAAAGAACATATATCCTTAAAAAAATCATGTTCCATTCTTCAGATGCAATCTGCTTTTACCATCGTATTCTAAATATTTCATATCGCAAAATTGGATACGAGGAGGCTATCAGCAGCGTATATTACGAGGACAACGAGACAAGTTGATGCCATGGCTGCAGTTAACAAGCAATAAGCTCTGGTGGAGTGGTGGAAATATGATCTTTGGTTTTGACAGACAAAAAAAGACTCACCAAAAAACTACTTTTTCTTTTGATAAAACTTATCCAGGAAATTATGATCACGATATATGGAGATTTATTCTTTGGGGAGATTACATTGTGACTGGTCACAAGTGTGTATCTGTTTACATAATATCTGTCTAGTTTGAAAATTCATTTCATCAATAATAAAAGTTCTCATGAAAACAAGAAAACACTAAACCACAAAAACCAACGGTTTTTCGTTTGATCAAACCTCTCCAGGAAAATATGAACACGATATATGGAGATTCATGTTCTGGAGAGAATTACGTTTTGACTGGCAACAAGTGTGCATCTGTTTACATAATCTACTATCTAGAGTTATACATTTGTTTCATCAGAAATGAAAGTTCTCATGAAAACTATTGTCACACGCCATTATCTATATATTTGTTTGCATTTATCATTTTTTGCAATTCTCTCTCACGTAATCTGTAATTTTAAAATGAAAAAAATTGTTTGTAGCAACGGCAGGATAATGTGGCAAACAAAATCACCATTTAAAAATAGATACAACGGATGTAATGAATGTATAAAAAAGAAAGAACTGATTCTTTACAATAATTCAATTTCGGCACTTGAAACTACATCAAACATTATTTTCTCAGCTGCTGGTTCTGAATATACTATAATAAGAGTAAGATATCAAGTCAGATATCATGCACATAATGCAATAATACAAGATGTAAAGTGTGTTCTTTCCAGGTAGAAAACAGCCTAGATATAGATTCAATTAATAATGATAACATAGTCCGAAAAGAGATTCCTGGATGCAGAATACGGTCACTCGCTATTCATCCTTTAGGAAAAATATTGAGTGTTGTATCCGAAGAGTTAGACAGGATACTTCACATTGATCTAGAACAGTAGGTATAATATAAATGATAGGTATGAAGAAACATTGTGTAAATAAATGACACATCTTATCAATTGCAATTTGTGACAATTATCAGAGAAATTTTAGTGATGTTGAAAGAGAGGAAATTGGTCCTTCTCAGAACACTGAAATAATGGACACTTTATGGGAAGATACCAATACTTTACTTACTTGCGGCTTCCGTCAAATACAAAAATGGGACTTGAGGTACTATATACAAGTTTTCATTATCAGGCTTGCTCATGTTTACAATTACGGCTATGGATTGTCAACAAACCTGTTTTTATTTAGAGTAAGGGATTTTGTGAGCACATGGCACGATCCAACCGATGCGGGGACATATTGCATTTCTTCCGATCATCACAATACGATGATTACAGGAGCACAGTATCATTCTAAGGCAGTTTTATGGGATCAAAGGATGCCTACCTTCGTTCAGGTTTGATAAGTTAAAAGCGAGATAAATTCACGTGTACTTTTTTTACAGATCTACTGCAAAGTTGTCTGTTTGAAATTTCCAGATGTATTTTATGCAAGCACCATTTGCAAAACAATTTGATATGAATAGTCCGATATATTCTCTGCGATTTGATAGCACATGGTTATATTGCGCCACGGACCGTTTCCTGTACGAATTAGATTTCTCTAAACATGGATGTCCAGTACGTGATTACAAATCAATTCCATTATGGAATCAGACTCGGGTAATACATTACAGTGCAATCTTATAACCATAGCGATGTTTGAACTATGAAACACGTTACAGTATAAAGAAACAGAATGAACAAGTGCAATATTGTTCATACATAAGTGTATTTAGTTATAAAACGAAGTTTCCTCCGATACTGTAATTTTTGCAAGTTTATTTTTAATGTACAAATAAAGATAAATTTATAATATTTCTGCAACAAGTTTTATTATTATCACGATACATGCACACAAGCAAAATAACTTTCCCCATGCATATGTAATAAGAGTAACGATTATTCGATATTTAAAATATAAAAGAATTTTTAAACCAATTTTTAAGAAAGCGCGATAGAAGTTCCAGCCTGACTTGCCAAACTTTGAGAGGCGTTCCAACTACGAATGTTTCCAAGTAAACTTGTGCAAAATTATGTTCAATATGTAATAAAAGCATCTTGAGGGAGAAAACTAGTACAAAATAAATTTATATTAATTGTCGCAGTACGTGTATGTATATATTTATACCGCGTCAAAGAAAATTGTTTTGGTAGAAAGAAACTGGCGTTTACTAACGCCTGTATAAAATATATATTAAACTTTTATGCACATTTTTGCATTTTCGAGTCGCAATATCTCTTATGCGCATTCGAATATAATCGTATATATCCCAGAACCAATATTAAGTATCTTTTTAAGTAGAGCCTTCTCAAGTATAATCGCTTTGTATTGATTTTTTTTCTTTTTCCGATCAGAGCATTGTTCTGATCATATAATTGAGAATGCCGCCGTGTTTATAAAAGGTCAAATCAACTTCGGTATCGAATCGAGCGACAACTTGGAACTTCTTGCCGTCGTCGGTAGTCACGGTAACTCGTTGTCCAGGTTGAATATTCTCGGGAATCGCTATATCGTAGGTCTCGTAACCTGTTAATCCTAAAGACTCCGCATTCTCGCCGGGAAGATACTCCAGCGGGGCGACGCCCATACCTATAAGATTGGACCTATATACGAGAAAAACAAACGAAAAATAATTTATAAAATTATTACACAAGTGATTGTTGCAAATATCTCAAATTAAACTCGTAATTCGAAAATCTGTATCAGATGTGCTCTAGAAAAATTTATGATCAAATTTTATCTAGGAAATACACAGTGATCAACAATTTGGAGAGAGAACTTACCTGTGTATTCTTTCGTATGATTCCGCTATGACCGCTCGAATACCGAGCATGTATGTTCCTTTAGCGGCCCAATCCCTGGAAGATCCGGATCCGTATTCCTTGCCGACCAAAGCGATCAGAGGTGTTCCGTCCTTTTTGTATTTCTCGGCCGCGTCAAATACGTCCATCTAAGTAATATTCCACCAATTATCTCTTTTATAATATTTATATTTTAAAAACTACATATTATAAATTTCGTTGTTTTTTTGTTTTTGATAATTTTTAATATGATTCTGGTCTGATATATGCGTGTCAATTGTTTTATAAAACATACTAAACTAAATTATACGTACTTCCTCTTTAGTTGGAATGTGAATTGTACGTGGTCCTGGTTTGCCAATGAATTTGTTCATCAGACGAATGTTCGCAAATGTACCTCGCACCATCACATCGTCATTTCCTCTACGCGAACCGTACGAATTGAATTCTTTCGGTGTCAGGCTGTAAAAATCACAATTGTCATTGAAAGGATAATTAGGCGTTTCATGTGAAATATTTTATTTTTCCGTGCGCGGACAAAATTTTTTTTACGATGAACTTACCCACGACTGGCCAAATATCGCGCCGCTGGCGAGTTACGCGCGATACTACCCGCCGGACTGATATGATCGGTCGTAACGGAATCTCCGAGATTCACGAGCACTCGCGCATTCGTAATCGGCTTTATCTGAGATATCTCCTGCAAAATTTATTAAAAAATTCATTTTTTACAATAAAAAAGAAGAGGAAAACGAAATATATTAATTAATTATTTTACAATATTATGAATTTTAATATATTTCTATAATGTGACCTTTTCCAAAGTTTCGAAGAAAGGCGGATGTTTAATATATGTAGAAGTAGCGTCCCATGGATATAATTTGCCTTCAGGCGCGACTAAATTTGCCCAATTGCTGCTGCCTCGTTCTATTTTGCTGTACACTTCTTTAAACATGGCTGGAATGACGTATTTCTGCTCCACGGCTTGAATTTCCGCTCTGGTTGGCCATATGTCTCTCAAATATACCGGAGTACCGTCGGACTTATGACCTTAAACAAAAGAAAAGAAAAAAACCGGTGTGTGTCAATAACCTTCTTAAATTTCACAAATATTATCTAGAAAACAGAAATGCTTACCTAGTGGCTGTTTTTCAAAATCTATGTCTACAGTGCCAGCGATAGCGTACGCTATCACCAAAAGAGGAGATGCCAAATAGTTCGCTCGAGTGTTTGGATGCACCCGACCTTCGAAATTTCTATTTCCCGATAGAACTCCGCAACAAACAAGATGATACTATAAATACAAAGGAATTCAATAGTAAATACGTACGTTATACAAACATGTCTTTATCAACGTATCAAAGACAACATACTCTATGTCAGAGATAATATATTTTCGAAGATAAGACTTTTTCCAAATCAAGTAATTAAGGATACATATGTTTACATTAAAAAAGCGCAGTTTACCTTTTCAATATTTTCACTTATAACATCAGGAAGCGGACCGCTGTTTCCGATACAGGTCATACAGCCATAACCCACAATATCAAATCCCAATTTCGACATGTACGGGATCACTCCGCTCTCATCGAGATAGTAAGTAACAACTCCGGATCCAGGTGACACTGATGTTTTTATGTACGGATCGACAGTCAATCCGGCTTCTACGGCCCTTTTAGCGAGAAGACCTGCATCGAGACAATACAATTAGCACATCTTATGTGCATACAGTTTATGTGTTTTCATAAGGTAGAAAAAGAGCTAAACCATATGTACAAAACTATTAATACGATTAATACGATTAAATTATTAATACAATTTTCTCACGAAAGAAGAATTCTCTCTTGATAAAAATTCACACAAAATTTGCAAAGTACCTGCTCCAAGCATCACACTCGGATTGCTAGTGTTCGTGCAGCTGGTAATCGCTGCGATAACCACCGAGCCGTGCTTTAGCTCATACTCCTTTCCTTCGTATTCAAATTTCGCTGTGGTACCAATATTTTCTGGATTTATACCAAAACCTTTGAAACCTACCTGCAATAAGAAAATCACACAAATTTATAATTTACAAGTTGTAACAGACAGCTATCACACGTACAGCGACGAATTTCTTCTCTTACAAATTTATGTTGTTTCGTTTCATCATACATTTGTCTTTTCAAAAAACAAATTTGTCTTTTCTGTATTGAAGTTAAATATAGTTTTTGTCGTCGTGCTTTATCAGTCGTGATATAAAACGGAATTCATTGTACGGTAAGCGATTTGCTGAAGTAGCAACATTTGCGGTAATCTTTAAGCAATTATAGGGTCTACGACCTCGTGCACAAAAGTCAATCACCGCGATCTTTATATCACAGAAAAAATAATTAAATGTTAATAATTCAAAACAATACTAGAAACATAAACTATGTACACAATAAAATGATTATTATAACAACAATTATAAAATTACATGTTAATTAATTGATTATTTGTAGTTAATTCGAAAATTTTTCATATTTTTATTATATTTTTTAACGAAAAATTTATGAATCCGCGACGGTGTTTTTTTTTTTTTTTTAGTTTAGAATAATACACAAATATATATCTTTCTTTCGCTTCAGCGCTACGATATAATAAAAATGATGATTAGTAATAATGATTACTAAATATTTTGAGTAATTATTGCAAATAACAGTAACATTAATTGAATTAAAGACACTTGTGTTTTAAACAAACGAACTTTTCCATTGTTTCCGCAAATAGAATCGCTTTCGGCCCTAAGGTCTTATAGGAAACCCGAGTCCTCTCTGTATAACAACGTGCACGTCAAAACGATGGCTCGTTTGCAATGAAATGTGTGCGGTTTGCAAAACGAACGTTAGTAGGATGTTGTATCAGCAATTTCAGCGCGAGCACCGAATACGTCTTCCAGAACTTGTGCGAAGTGCGCGAGCAAAGACTCGTGTCTTCTCCGACGAGGCGGACGGATCGATCGATCAACGGTACGTGCACAAATCATTATTTTTTTTTCTTCTCGCATCGGGATATATCGCGAATTTCGAATGACAGTTGTTAGATCTTATTGCGAGAGATGTTTTCTTTATATAGCGAGAAATATATAATATATATAAAAAATATGTAATATATGTCAGAAAACTTTTTGCCTCTGATGAAAAAACCGTGAAGAAGTTTTGAAAATTCGCACGTAAGAGGAAACACCGTGTATAGAGTTCAGTTCATTAATTTTGATTATTGAAAAAATAATGCCGATGATTCATTCATTTATTATTTGTTTGTTTCTAATTATCAGAAAATGATAGCACGGCTAACAATAGCTAATCTACGTTTCTGTTCGATGATAGAAATGTATACTATTAGTATAATGACGTATAGAAAATCCAAATACCGACATTACAAAAAAATTTCAAAATCCTCGAAAAAATTTTTCTATTTTTTTTCCGATAACGAGAATGACTTAAATCCGGTTAGTTTTTATTTCGACTTTTAATTTAATTTTTTTTACGTACAAAAATACAGATATATCTGAATATTTTGCTATCAAAAGCGCTTCTACAGAGAGTCCACATTGACTAATGCACACGCTTATCTCTGTAATTATTGGATGTGCGTGTACTCTCGATAATAATTCTTAAATTTCGTATTCTAAGAGATAAACAACACAACTTTCTGTATTCATGAAAATGATAAATTTTCTATTTTTTAAAATGTAATTTCTTTCAAGTCGAGTTTTTCACAAGACTCTTCTTCAATTTCCGATTCAAACAATTTCGATATTAAATTCAAGACCGTCGCCATGAAGAAACTTGTTTTTCAAGTTGACTAGAAAAAATTATACATACGCTATTACTATAATCTAGGATGTCTATTTCTCCGTGTCTATGATATTTCGCGCGTAAAGCAATATACTACGTGTGTTTTCGTGATGAAGATGATGGGAAACATATCTCACAGATCATTTTTGTTGTTATTGTTGTCAACCGTATCTCTTTTGTCGTCGATCGCGAAAATCTAACTGCGATGAAGAATTGAATTTCAAGCAGAAGAAGCGTCAGCTTTATGATTCATATCGATGAGCTTCTTCGGCAAGTGTCCTTACTGTTATAGGCCAGGTAACGCGATGCCGATGTTGAACATTTCGAATAGAAATCGATCGACGTTTTTAAACTCATAAACACGCATTGTTTCCGCCCGTTCGACGATCTCATTTGCTAGTAGTTCGCCTAACAGATCGCGAGCATCTTCAAACGCGATTCAAATGTAATATTTTTGTGTAAAGTGCGCAGCGAATTTTCGTTGTACGGAATATTTATTCGACTGTATATATTGAATCTCGAAGTGTCGATAAGATCACATTGCGAAAATCACACATAGTTTTCGTGCTCGTTAGAGAAAATCGTTATATACATTACGTATCTTGTGTTTTTTCGCTTCTTTTGAAATCTTAAAAAATTTAAAAATACTTAGATTAAAACCGAGATATCATGCTGTGTCAACAGAACATTAGGGACTCATTGAGGGCCAATGATAGGAAAGAACTATAAAAAGGCACGATAATACCAAAGGTTTCACACTAGTCCAACAGTTCTCCTAACGTGTACAACGATCTTGTCTCTGACAGACCAAAGTTTAAGAAAGCAACGGATATAGTTTAACAAGAACAAGTATATTGTCTATTAGCATTCGTCAAGTAACAGTAAAAATTTTAAAGTTAAAAGGTAATTGTAATTTGTGTACTACGTTAATCTTTCTTGTGGCTTATTATTTAGTTTTAATTTTTGAAAATTTAATTGTGTTACTCGCTATTTACAGTATTTGAAATTTCGTTGTGTTGTACGTGCACGATACTAAACAATTTTCACGAAAAAGTGGAAACGAAAAGGGTCTGTTGCCGGATATAATCCTGTTCGGTAAAGTAGAAATAAAACAACTTCACCGGGAAAGGATTATATCCTGTAATGGATCTGTACGCAGCGTTTTTTTCTCGATATAGCACACACATCTTCAAAAAAATATTCTTGCCACTGAGGGCAGGTACAGGTCTTGTCTGCACAAACCAATATTATTATTTTGTGACTAGATCTGTACTTATCCTTAATGACAGGAAACATCGTCTTGAGAATTGTCATTCAAAAATCTTCGTCTTGTTCAATTGTCTTTGGTTTTCTAGCAATATGTTAATTCGAAAGATCATAAAGCTAGATCATCAAAGGACAAAGGTTCGAGACACAGCGGCATTGGACATCGTCGTTCAAAAGGACATACTCTCAAAAGGAATTTATTGTGAAAATTAATTTTAAAATTGCTGACCGCGTCGGACACACATTATTGTGATTTTTAATGGTTCTTCAAAACGAACGTAGAAACAGAAGAAAGGATATTTGAGGGCAAAGTTCAAGGAGCTCTTTCTCTGATGTCTTGATATAAGATAATGATATCACAGTAAGAGTTTCTTTGAGCTCTGTCGATCATTTTCAACCTTGTTCTTTCTTATCTGACAAGAAAAATCTGTGAACTCTGAAGAAAAAAAAATAAATTGCTATATATTTTTTGCTGCACTGGCTAAACAGAAGTGTGGCATAAGATGAATGTAACCCAGCTTGACTGGAATTTTTAAATCAGTTCACTGGGTCATATTTGTCTATTGCACGCACTGATTACTCATCGGAGTTGTAGAGATTTGATATTAATATTTTGCAGGTTTAACACATGTGTATGTGTATAATTGCTTTAAATATTTTATATACTTAGTCATACGTGTATGTCGATTAGTAGTATTGTTAAATGTAAAACTATTAAAAGAACATTAACTATAAAAAAGATTAGATATGTTTAAGAAATATATTTTTTATGTATACGAGTGGACAAAGAGACAAACTTTTTCAATAATACAATAACTTTTCAAAAGAAATGTTTAAGAGAGCACAGACCTTGTTGACGAGGCAGTTCCTGAAGTCTATCTGCATGTCGGACACCGAGACTCGATCGTGAGGTCTCTTGGGTCCGCTGACGCTGGAAACCACGGTACTCAAATCTAGAGTGACCACTTCGGAGAAGATTGGATCCTGACTTGAGTCGTTGTAATTCCTCAGCATACGCACGCTTTCAAGATATTTTTTAATTCTGTCAATATGTTCCTCGGACCGACCTGTTTGCTTCAGATACATTAAACTCTGTTGATCCACTGGGAAGAAGCCCACAGTTGCGCCATATTCCGGACACATGTTGGATATAGTGGCGCGATCAGCGATACTCAATTGCGATACTCCGGGTCCGAAAAATTCGACGAACTTTCCGACTACTCCGACTTGACGAAGATTCTACGCGTAAAAAAATGTTTGCAAGTTTATGATACATAAGTGCTTTAATATGCTTTAATATGCTTAATATATCTTATGATTTTTTTCGTCGAGTATAATGTCACTCAAAAATAATTTATATAATTGTAAATTTTTTAAGTAAGAATTTTTTAAAAGTAAAAACATTTTGTTTCAAAAAAGCTTCCTTGTAAATAGATATTTGGATTTAGACAAAAAAAGAAATTCACCTTTGTGACCGTAAGAACAAGATCTGTAGATGTAGCGTATTGGCTCAGTGTTCCCTCTAATTTATATCCAACAACCTTTGGTATCAACATAGATATTGCCTGACCAAGCATAACGGCCTCGGCTTCAATACCACCAACTCCCCATCCAAGCACTCCAAGACCATTGACCATAGTAGTGTGAGAATCGGTGCCGACCAAACTGTCCGGGTACAAAACACCGTTGGTATTAAATACCACTCTTGCCAGATACTCCAGATTCACTTGATGGACAATACCGCTTCCAGGTGGTACAATTAACATGTTTTTGAACGCCTTTGCGCCCCATTTAAGAAACATAAAACGTTCCTTGTTTCTAGTAAATTCCATTTCTTCATTTTTCTTTGTAGCATCCGGACTAAAAACAAGCAATTATTATTCAGATTTATCTTATATTATGTAACGATGTACGATATCGAATTTAAAGCTTTTATTTGTACTTGTATCTCTTTATATACGCAATATTATCTCAGTGTTATAAGTAAAGCTTTTTTTTTTTAAGATAAATTGAGTAATAGCTACTTTTTGTTTCTCGTGTGAGTGTATGACAACAAGTGCATATTTCCAGTTTTACACGATAACCTTTTACTCTTTGTTAACATATTAATGTGCCAAGGATAAAGATATATGTTAAAAAAATTAATTACCTCCTATTAAAATCGACCTGTATTGAGTGGTCGATTACAAGATCTGATGGACAGATTGGATTAATTTTGTCAGGATCACTACCTAATCTCTTCACAGCATCTCTCATTGCAGCAAAATCTACAACTGCTGGCACTCCAGTGAAGTCCTATTTATGTGTAAAACACAAAAATATAAATATTCCTCTCTTCTCTTGTGTTCCTAAATTAAAATTTAACGCTTGTTTAAAGACTTTATACCTGCAAGAGAACTCTTGCTGGCACAAAAGCCACTTCAACTCCTTCTGCAACATTTTGATTTTTTTCCCAATCCAGAAGTTTCTCTACATCAGTTTCTGTCACTTGGAAATTATCACAATTACGTACAGCACTTTCCAGGAGAACACGAATTGAGAATGGCAATTTGTCTATAAAATGGAAATTAAATGGCCAATTTATATATATATTTAACAAGTATATAACATACTATAAAACTATTAAATACTGAATAATAAAGTTATCTTACCATATTTTGAGTCAAACTTGGTAACATCATAATAATTATACTGATTAGATCCAATTTTGATGGATTTCAGCAAATGCTGATAAGGATTTGGGCCTAAAATTATAAATTTTTCTTATAATTTGCTTATTTTATATAGCTATAGTTGTTCAAAATGTTTATAAAATTACAAAATATAAAATCATATTTTTATATTTCTTATTGTCAAAATAAGTTAATAAATTTTATACGAAACTTAAAACTATTAAGAATACTTACTAGCTCTAGCTTTTTGCATTATTTAATTCAAAATATTATGTTCTAAATTACAAAATATGTAAATTATCAGAAAAAAATTTAATCGAAACACTTGTGTGTAATGTTTATAAATAATACAAAAATACACGATATGATCTACGATCTTTTTCACATTTCTACGCAAATACAGAATATTCAATTTTCAAATGTGACATGTTGTCAAAATTTAAAAATATCCGAAGTAACACTTCTCATGCAATTTTCACCATCAATTGAAACATCAGTTTATTTTTTATTAAATTTGAATACCATTAGAGAAAAACCGCAAAATGTTATTTTTCATGATACGAAATTGTCTTAACATAACGTCGTCGCATTAATAAAGCCGCTCTTTTCAATCGTTTGTTTTTTTTTTCAATCAAATAACAGCAATAAACAAACATACGTCTTCTCACTTACCAGCCATGATTGTCACTGAACAAGTCACGTCGGCCACACTGCGTGACAAGTATATATCGTATCATACCGGGTGTTTCGTAAATATTTCTCTCCTTAAAGAACAGAGCAATCGATTAACTTTCTTATAATTTTTCTCGATATTTTTTGAAAACATGAACGTTATGCTTAAAATAACATGCTTTAGGCAAAATAAAATATTGTGATACAATAAACAAATATAAATCTGCACATTTTCCGAGCCGCCGCAGATAGTCGGCGGGTGAGACAGTAAAACATTGTATCATGATAAGATTGCGTTATGTAATATGATTTCTCGTGAATTAATTCAACATTTATACATAATTTATAACGTTTGCACAATGCTCTTGTCGCGACAAAGGTTTGTATTATGACGGGGAAAAAAGACCAAAGTTCGACACAAATCAATCGGTACGTACATACAAAATAAATGTTTCATTAATGACGCTCGGTATATAAAAGAACCGTCAAATCGGTCACGTGTTGCGATGTTTGCGATACATCGCGCAATCGTGGCGTGATCCTCCGTCGTGAACTTCAAACGGGGCGCTCGTGCGATAACGAGTTTCGGCCTGTGCATAAATATTTTTTTTTTTCGATAACGAAACGTTAATTTGACATCGACCGATTGCGCGTTATTCGATTTCACGAACGCTATTGAGAATGGAACGAAATCTGGAGAAGACACTGGACGACGCGTAAGTTTTCGAATCTCTTATAGGTTAAGTGTTCCGATAGTTTTAATTGCCCGCAACAATAAAAATTTACATATCACACGTATTGTCATCCTGTTCTGTATACAGATACAACGAGGAAGGCATTATTGGCTGCATCTTGGCAGATCATGCTGGTCTCTGTTTGGGAGGTAAGAAGTTTCCAAAAATATAAACACTAAGGAATGTAAACAGACATGTAAAATTCACATGTTCATGTTTCGTCAGTTAAAGGTAATGCATCGAGTGACAGTGCTGGTGTGATAGCAGCCATAGCCGATCAAGTTGCAAAACTAGAGCCTAGATCTGAAATACCTATCATATCGCTCCAAAATGATAACAAGTGAGTTAAATGTACAACAAAAAAAAAAAAATCAAAACTGTGCTATTATAAATCTAAAAACGTTAACGTTATGTCAAATATTAATACATGCAGATTCTAAATTAATTTCAGACAATGTATCATACGTCGAAAAGATCCTGTAGTTGGCGCTATATATAAAGATGTATCAACTTGAGAAAATTATTGTTGTATATAACACAACAGAAGCTGACTTATATCCTTAAAATAAGATGTTTATATGAAAATTTTCTATTATTTATAGGTGTAAAATTTATGATTTTTATTATAGTTGTAATATTAATGAATGATTATTACTCTTGTGCCGTGTGTAGGAATTGTTTTATATTGTGGCTGTAAGATTGTAGAAAATAATATTTATATATTATCATCTTTTAATAACATTTACACAAGAACTCCCGCAATGGATCATGTCTCTCGCGTCGCAAAGAAATTTGTAATTTTAATTTACACATAAATCATAAAATAACAACATAAACACATTTAAGGTCAATCACTCTTCCTCTGTTTTCTTTTTCTCTCGTGCCACTTGTTCGTGGCGAGCCTGATCAATTCATTATTCTCGTATTTCCACGACCCAAGTACAATTACAAACATAATTACACCGATCAGTAGATGCAATCCTTTTTTATCCGGAAATAAGGAAGCCTAAAAAAAAAAAAGAAATTAAATGTTAGCATCAATAACATTCTTAATGTCAATACAAACGTATGCGAGAAACTATTTCGGCAAACATATTATATTACATGTGACAAGGTGGTGATGAACGCTGCGATGATCAGAGATGCGGAAAAGACCGGCTTCGGAATCAATCCGTCCAGCGGCCGATAAATCGTGTCTCGATGCCTTTTGTTGATAAACAATGATGAGTGAATGATTCTTAGGGTCATGTTCACGCAATTGCCCAGGATAAAGCCAACCGGGCCGAACCAGGTGGCAAACAGATACGACGCGCCCAAAAACGCGATAGACTCGTAGACCATAATCAGATTGCTCTTGTTTATCGTTGTGCTATCGGCTGTTGCGTTGGTGTAGCACTCGGTCACACCATTGATGCCTAACAATAACACAGCAAGACAATGCGCTCTCAGCAGAAGGACGGGTAACGGTAAGGTCAACTTTGAGCCGCCGTACAACCACAGCAACGTGCTCGAGTACGATTGACCGAATACTAAAACAATCAGACCGATAGACATGACGACGGAACACAAGTGCGTTAGCACGTTTACGCTCTCCTGTACCTTCATCTGAAAATATCAGTTTTTACTATATAAATTCCGAGATAATCTGTCAATATTTTCGCTAAAGAAAAATCGACACAATCCGTATTTTTCTTTGTTTTTGATAAAATTGAAAGATGACTCTCACCGGATCCTGATCGATTAACGCTTTGTCTCTTTTCACCATCTGCGTAAAGTAGAAATATCCGCTATCTTCGATTGGACGAAAGATAAATCTAGCAGCAAGCGAACCCAGGTTGTTGACAACCTCATAAATACCCTTTAAAAACAAAAAATAAATAAATAAATTTCCTGAAAATATATATTCCATACATATTGACGTTATACCTGTTCTGTGAATGTCAACACTGGCATAATGGTCATAATTAATCTTTCGCCTTCTGTCAAAATTTGCTTCAATATTCCTTGCCTAAAGAAGCTCCACGTGAGAACGGTCAGCTTTCTATCGAGATACGGATCCTACGAAATAACTGTTGTTCTTAAAAACAACGATAACGGTATAGTTTGTATTTAAACCTACATTATTTTCCAATTGGCCGGGTAGAAAATCCTTCACAGATCGAAAAGGAAATTCTCTTTCCACGTACTCGTCGCTGCTGCCCTTCAGAGACATTCTGCGCTTCGGTGTGCACTTGTTCAACTTATTGATGTAATAGTGGAAGTACACGTAGTGACTAGTTGTATAAAATACCGCTGCGACGAGTTGAGCTATGCTGAACGCAAGCAATGCATTCTCCGGATAATACAGGATTAGGGGTACAAATGTCAAAGTGCGAATAGCAATCATGATCGTGTCTAGAATTACCTGGGAAGAGAAAAAGCGTAGATAATAGTATGACATTTATATTTTGTTAGAATTATTAAGTATATATCTTTTCTATCTGCTTACTTTAAGTCTAACAAATAGAAATGCGCTTGCAACTAATTGAGCGATTAAGGAAGATAATTCTATGATACACGACAGTCCAACCGTCCAAACTGCAAATGTGTAGTATGGTGGTAATGCTTCTGTGGTGGATAACAAGAACAACCAGATGTATCCAAATAGAAAAGACATTACAACACATATAGGCACTCTAAAAAAAAAAATTATATATATATATATATACATATCTTAATTTTGTCAGATCAATATCAAACTAATTATAGTAGATAGAACTAAAATTAGTTCTAAAATAGAATATAAATAATGACAAAATAGCGAAGAAACTAACGTTAGCCAGAGAAGATTTACAACTTGAGCCCAATTATGCTCTGCAGTGTTAGTTAGACATGCTTTCATAAATGGCTCTCTTGATAAAAATAAAATCATAGATTCCAACAGCAATAATCTCACATTAATGACACCTAAGATTGCTTGGCCCACATGCCGGACAACAAATGCATTCAAGACAAATGTGACACAGCGACAGAATATCTGAAAGAAATGTCTTTTAAAAATTTCTATACACTTATGACAATGCAAAAACGAAAAAATTGTTTTTGATTAGTTATTCTTCTCAAAAACTCGTCTCTTGAACACAGAGACTGCGAGATAAAGATTAGATTCGTCAATTGTAGAAAAACACAGCAACTAGATATGTCATTTACAAGTCTGGTGAGAAGAAGAGTCAATTGGCACATACCTGAAATACAATGTTGAAAGAAGCATTTTCTAAGCTGCTCTTCAGAACGTTCGGTGGCATTTTTCAGACTGCGATTAGCACAGAAGACATTAAAATATTTCAAGATTGCCGCCGAAAGATCAATGAAATTTAAGGTTAGGCGGGGTGATAATCTCGAGGAAACTCAGACCAACATTCGCCTGTATCATTTCTCCTCCTCGATTTCATTCGTGTAACATGCGTGTAGCCGATGCGTTTCGGACGCACAACATTTATTCCGTCACAGCGAAATAACGAGACGATAACTATTTCGATCCGACTGATGACATTTTTGTGTCATGTGACGTAACGGCATCTTTCGTTGGATCGATTTTTCACAAACGTGGGTGTTATGATCTATACTAGCGATATAGTTTTATTTTGCGAGAAAACTATAGTGAATAGGCAAAAGAAAATACCCTATTCTTTGGAGCTGCGCTACGGTTGCATTTTCCACGCATTTTCAAACTGTAAATGAAAATCAAATCTTACACATATTCATATTTTTTAAGTTTTTCTTTATTATCAATAACACTTTATGTATTATTTTTAATATATATTATTAATTTGCTATCTTTTACTTAATATGTTAAATGTAAATTTGAATTTAATTTAAATTTAATGTATTTAATATATATTAACTGTACTAATATAGTTTTAATAGTTTTATAATGCATTGGGCTTTAATGTGTCACATTATACAGCGGAATTAATGCATTCCAAAGTGCACCGCATGGATCTTCCGCGTTTGCTGAATACATAAGCGATAGATTTTTGACGGTCGACACTTTGTGCCGCGCAACAGCCATCTCGTCGTCACGAATTTCATTTGTTGAACAATCATCGGCTTCGCCAAGATATAATTTGTACGATACTGTGTGCAAATTGTCAGTCGATCTTCTAGTATAGTATAATTAATTAATATAATACATGAGAAATATTGCGGATATATCGTACCGGTTGCTATTTCCGTATTTTTTTCTACGCATGCGTAAGAACTCATCACGTGTTGATCTTGTGTACGTGTGACGTATATGTACATATTTTACACCAAATTTATTACATATAAAAAATTTTGGGCTAGGTTTATGCAGAGTTTATAATTACAATAAACTAGAATTTTTCTTTAATCTAAAGAAAACTTCTAGTAAAAATCACAATATATTATTAAATATATTTTTTATTAGCGCTCTTCAGTCTCTTTTTTTTTCAAATTCAGTTCTGAAAACTTCCACACGCATGTTTACATATTTGTTTTGCTATAGTTTTATTATTCTTCCGATACATAATCTCTGAGAACTAATTCGCTCAAAAAAGAATTAAAGAGTCCACTGCTAAAACCCATAAGAAGAGTACGTAGAAATTCTCTCTGAGACTTTTTATTTTATATCAGTATTTCTTTCTGTCTTGTAAATCAAAACGCCACGATCGGCACGATCTTGATATGATAGAAAACTGTTTTTACGAACGGAGAGAGTTTCCGTCGAAGGATTCAGTACGGTCTTGTCTTCGAGGCAGCTTGGTCGCACATTGGTGATGTTCGGACGTTCCAGTATAGAAAATTTTCATTAAGAGTCTCCGAGCGATTATAGGTGATTATTATCTTTTTTTCTTTAAATTTTTTTTTATTACCCATGTCTGGATGTTTTTCTTGGATAGCATTAAATGAGAAATACCTCTTTGTTGCGCCGAACTACGTACGCTACTGACGTTTGATACATCAGGTGACGCTAGCTGTTGTGCACATGCACCAATATCTGTCGCGCAAGTGTCGTGAGTCGCGATTTTTTCGACTCCGTTAGTAGGTAGTATAGAATATTAGCTAGTTAATGCGCGAGATTCGCAGTCGGTCGCGGACAGTCGCGAACGGTGCGGGTTGATTGGATGAGGTGCGTCTTGAGTGTCGAGGGACTCGCTCAAGACAGACGTGTGACTTGACCATTGCCGGTGTCGTTTGCGCGAGATCTTTCGTTTTTTTTTTCTAATGAGTGTCACTCCGATCTGGCGTGGAAGACGTGTCACGCCATCGTCGGTTCTTCGCGCGGTGGACATTACTTCTGCTAGACAAGCGACGCTCGAGGTCGAGGACAGTCGCCCACACGTCGATTATCCTATCGTTAGTTCCTACAATAAAGAGATATAGCCGCACGAATTGAGATATCGGTATAATATAATACGCACATGTGCTTCTTGTGTACTGGCTCTTGTCAGTAATGCGATGCGGACAAAGTTATAACTACACGAAACGGGAGCGATGTCAATAAAAGGCGGGCAAGTTAAAGGGTTAATTAGACATTTACCCACTCGCTTATGTAAGACAACGTGATTTTGTGTGTTGTCATTCAAAACTAGTAAGACACAACGTGTGCGCGTTGAAAAACGCGTCTATATGCACGCATGTGATCATCAAAATTTACTTTTATTACATTTCACGGAGCAAAGTTAAAAAATGTTAATTTAGAATAATGACTACGTTTATGAGATAAAAGTTATTGAAAATTATTGTCATTTGAAAATAGCAAGACAAGCTACACATGTACCACAGAGAGACAGTTTTGTTTACACGAATGATTTGAACACAAGTTGTTATATTAGAGCTATACGTTACTTGTATTTTTGTGACTGTGATGTAAAAATTATTGAAAAGTGACAAAAAATTATACAGTGTTATGTGACGAGAAGCAAAAATTTGCACATAATATTATGTGACGTCAATGCGTTTGTATCTCTTTATGATGCGCGTGTAAATGAAAATCGCTCTTTGACATTGATTAAAGATAATTTTATTCTGAATTGCTAAAACAAAAATTTCCATATTCTACCAGCTTAAATATTTTTGCATAGAACCATCTAAATGCGTTTGTAAAAAAATTGTTATCTTTTTACTAAGAGAAATAATACAAAACATCTTATTGTGCAAGTAAATTTCATAATTTTCAAATGCAATCACAAAGCAAAAAACCTTTGTTATATACGTAGTATAATATTTAATATATTCTCTATGAATTTTTTATTCATAATAAATTCAACTTACTTTTTGCAGCGAAAAAATTATTTGTATAAGCGAGAGCTACAGCGAGTCATTTGAGTCTAAGCAATGAGCCCATTAAGTCACAAAAATAATAATACTAACAATAATACTATTCCAAAAAATATGGAGACATCTAATGGATATTCTGCTGGTGATACCATGGCCAAAGAACTGAGAAATCATTCATCTCCTTGTGAGTCAATGGATTGTATGTGTGCTTAGATTGCCAATTTTTATATGTATATTTTTTGTTATATACACATTATGTTAATTATTATAATATCTGATGTTACTTGTGTAATATTGCCATACTTGTTTTTCAGAAAAAAAAATTCTTTAGATCACTAATTTTTTGCACTTGAAAATATCTTAGAATATTTAAGCAAGCTAGTTGATTAAACAGATTAGATATTTGTACATTAATACATGCTTGTAATAGAAATGTATTTACTTTGCTTGAATATTATATTTGTGCAATTAATTTAACACTAAAAAAAAACAAATAGCTTTCCATTTTGTTATACACACGCATTATCCTGCACGAAAAGCGCATTAGCCTTATTTTTTATTACCAATGTTTAATTTCACTATTTAATTCTGCAGGATTGTTTTTATCGCTAATTTGTAACAATAGATATTTTAGAATTTTCGACATTTATTACTGTGCGCACAAATTGCACAAAATATTGGTCATACAGTTGTTTATTACAGCAATGCCTTGGTTTGGGATGGATATTGGTGGCACATTATCTAAATTAGTATACTTTGAACCAAAGGACATTACAAGAGATGAAGCAGATGCAGAAATAGAAACGTTAAAAAATATTCGTCGTTATCTAACTAAGAATTCAGCATACGGGAAAACTGGCCATCGCGATACTCATTTGCAAGTAAGCATTGTTAAAATTACATTTCATTTAATTTTCATGTAAATTTACATCTTTTTATATAAATTTATCCCTAAGTACTTATCGTAAAGTCCATGTATGATTGCGATAAAACTATTAAAATAAAAAATTTGAATTAGAATTTGACATTAAAAAGTTTCTATCTTTAATCTCTAATACGTAATTTGATGCAACCCGTTAACTATTTCAGATGGATAATGTTTGTATTAGAGGTAGAAGAGGAACGTTACATTTTATTAGATTTCCCACAAGCGAAATGAAAAATTTTTTAGCGCTAGCAAAGTCAAAGGGCATGGCGAATCTTGTGACCACCGTGTGTGCCACAGGCGGTGGTGCCTTCAAGTTCGAGGAGAATTTTAAAAAGGTACTGTCTTACATACATCCTATCTTTTTAATTATCATTGCGATATTAATTACCTCATGCTTCAGTAATGGAACTTCTCTGACAGGAAGTAAATATGAGTTTAGCCAAATTCGATGAATTGTATAGCTTGATACGTGGAATGCTCTACATAGAAACCACCAATCCACGTGAGTGCTATTATTGGTCAAATCCCACCGACGACAGCAAATGTCAAAAAGTACCTTACGATTTTTCCGAACCATATCCGTTCTTGGTAAGAATATCGTATACATAGTTTTTTCTTTATCTTTCTCAACTTTTCTCAAAAATCTTTAGCAACTTTTAATGAACTTCTAATGAGTTTTCTAACGGTTATATTATCTATAGCTTGTTAACATAGGCTCCGGAGTGAGCATATTAGGTGTATATGGACCAGAAAACTTCAAGAGAATATCTGGAACGAGGTAAGTGAGCACGTGTGTGTTGTATTGCGCGTCGAGTGAATATACTCGTTTTAAGTGCTAACGTAATGTACAACTTTGTATTTTATAGTTTAGGAGGTGGTACTTTCTTGGGACTGTGTTGTTTACTTACTGGTTGCACCACCTTCGAGGAGGCAATAGAGTTGGCAACAGGCGGCGATAACACAAAAGTAGATAAGTTGGTCAGGGATATATACGGCGGCGATTACGGTCCCTTCGATCTTCCCGGAGATCTAGTAGCGAGCAGGTAAACTCGCAATTATCAATCGCCGCTCTTCGAAGAAAAATATAAATGTAGTTCTAAATCGTTGTTTTGTTTTTTCCCAGTTTTGGACAAATGAATTCCAAAGAACGTAGAAACGCTGTTACGAAAGAAGATCTAGCACGTGCAACGCTTGTTACCATCACAAATAATATCGGCTCGATCGCGCGCATGTGCGCTCTTAATGAAAAAATTGAGAGAGTAAGAATACATACGTACACACAAATTTTGGTAAAAATGTTTAAGCTGATCACAGAGTCTGTAACAAGTTTCATCTTTAGGTTGTATTTGCTGGAAATTTTCTCAGAGTGAATCCCATATCAATGAAATTACTGGCCTATGCAATGGATTACTGGTCTAAAGGAACCTTGAAAGCTCTGTTTTTGGAACACGAAGTAAGAAAAGAATCCGTCAACTTGTGTGTTCCGAGATATTTTTCTGTAAAAACAAAAGAAGTAAATTTTTCAAACATATAAATGCATTTCTTTTCTAATTTTAGGGATATTTCGGTGCGGTGGGTTGCCTGTTACAATACAACGGCTAATCGAGCTAAATATAACAAAAGATGTTGAGAAGAACAGTTACGCAACATGCAGCATTCCATGTGACCACATCATCTACAGTATGAATTTTCCAGTATGTGAAGAAGAGATCGTTACGATATAAAAATATTTTTGTTACATTTCTTTTTATTCGGGAATTTCTACTGAGTAATCGTTTAATGATACGACGAAGAACAAGAACTTCGCGAAAATATGATTAAGTAAGTTAATCTATAATTTATTACACACAGTGTTTATGTGTAGGAAAAAGTGGTTGTGTGTGGGGATATATATACATATATGTTTTTTTTCTTTTTGTCTTACCTTATTTTGATATCACTGTTCGATTATATGAGCACAAATATGTAGCATGACACGTTATAAGTGGACCAAATCCACATAAGGATTAAGGGCTGCCTCTTCTCCCGATGTTCGTTACATGCCGTAAATAGACTAGTTCTCTACCTCATAATTTATATCGTAAAAAATTTTTCTACGGATGCACAGATTTTTATGTACATTAATGACCGTGATCGATATTACACTTGCACATCTTTTCGTAAATTTTATATAATTGACTAAAAAATAAACAACACTTACAAAAAGTCCTTGGCGCGCGCACCAATTGTTAATATTTGTAATTTTGTTGCCGTATTATTATTCTATATATGTTACACAGACATTTCGTATAATATGAGAAGTTTTTTAATCAAGTATTAACGGAATGTTTGCCAAACCGTTTATTTACATGTGGTAGCAGTTGATGAGCAAAGAACGAAAAATTTTTTTTACATCGTTTAACATTGCTTCTGTGAGAAGGATTTGCATTAGAAAATACTTTAGATAACAAAAAAATGCAAATCCATATTCTAATTTTGCGAAGCATGATGACTATATACATGATATAAAAAGAAACGAACGCGAAAATATATATCATTAAATATTCATTGTAAAGAAGATACATATTACATGTATTTCTCGAGAATGTTGTCTAATGTGTATCTTCTATTTTTTTACCTATTTAAAATGTGACAATTATATATATAATAAAACTTTGGATACGTTATTTGTAATATTTCGATTAATTTGATATTAGCACACATCCTTTATAGAAAACAAATAGCTAATTTCTGTATAGATGCCAAAAAACTTTTTAACTTCTGCTAAATAAAATGCCAGTTTGCTATACAACAGTGTATTTTTCTGTCCTTTGAATCGAAACTGATAAATTAAGTTCAATGCTGTGCTAACACATTCCGTGTACACTTCTGTTTAAAAAAATTGCAGTCCTATGTAATTTGAGTGTCAAGAGAGTCCCCGTCTGTCTGTGCAAAGTACGGTTACTTAGCAACGATCTTACAAAACACAATGCTGCTCTTAAATGTCACGTTAACCGAGTTGTAAAGACACTCACGCGAAATTATAGATTTTTATAACAGCGTCGCTATTGTTACAATTATTACGTTAAATTTTCTATAATTTTTAAAAAAAGTAAAACGTTTTTTACGCGTTTTATTTGGTGCATCAATAAAAATGGTAAGTTAGCTAATTTCAGGTATTAACCTGAAAAAATATATAAGAAAAAGAATTTTTCAAGAATTTCCTTACTTTTATTTTCTTTTATTTTATTTTTCCTGATGATTTAATTACGATTATTTTAATTGCCAAAAAAATATCACTTTAACTGAAATATTGTATAAATATAAACACACCACATAAATATATTCGCTTTTATTCTGTCCTCCTCTTTTCGATTTTACAAGCTATTGTGTTTTCTTTGAATTATTAACAATGCAAAATTAACAAAAGGGTCCCAAGAAAGCAAAAGGAAAAGCGGTGGATACCGTTGAGGGAGTGGATACAACAAAAATGAACAGAGAACAATTAGAGATATATGCTCACAAAATTTTAGAAGAAATGGAACGCGAACGTGAAGAACGAAATTTCTTTCAACTGGAAAGAGATAAGCTGCGCACTTTTTGGGAAATCACGAGGCATCAGCTCGACGAAGCGCGTGCCGCAATCAGGTAATATATACACACGTGGTCAAAGTAAACACTTTAACCACGTGTTCGTAAAATTTATTTCACACACAGAAACAAAGAACGTGAAAAAGAGGAATTGGCGGAGAAGCACGAGGCCGAACTTAAGTTATATAAACAAAAAGTGAAACATTTGATGCACGAGCATCAGAACAATTTGTCCGAAAATAAGGCTGATCATCTAGTTGCGCTCAAATTGGCGCAAGACGACCACAATGCTCAAGAAAACGAGCTTATCAGAGATAAGATAGAATTAAAAAAGCTGCAGAAAGAGCAGGAACTAGCGCACGTGGGTGTGATCCGCGCGTTGAAGCTGGTAAGATGCTTGTGTGCAGACTATAATTGCTTACTCTCTCAAATTTATTGAAGTTAACTTTACAAAAGTTTAATGCAAATAATTGCTTCTTCTTTATGTAAAAAATAGAAACATTCGGAAGAAATGCAGAATATGATGAAAAAATTCGAATCTGAAGCGATGGAAATGGAGCAAAAGTATGAACAAAAATTAACCACTCAGTACGAATCCCTGATACTAAAGCATCGTATGGAAATGACAGAAGTGGAGGAGCGAAAAACCGCGCAGGTCGCGGATCTCATAAAAAATCACGAGAATGCATTTGCCGAAATGAAAACTTATTACAACGATATTACACTTAATAATTTATCGTTGATTAAAAGCATGAAGGTAAACTCTGTAAAATTTTGCGTGATACTCAATTACAGGATCTTAAATAATAATAGAAAGAAAAACACAAATTAATGCAACGCTTAAGTCAACATTTTCTACAACAGGAACAAATGGAAGCAATGAGAAGTAGCGAGGAACGTATGAAGAAACAAACGCGAGAACTGACAACGGAAAATAAAAAGTATTCGAGTGATTTAAAAGCCACGCAGGAAATAGTGGCCGAGCTTACCCGTCAACTTTCAAATTATGAAAAAGACAAACAGTGTCTAGCCGTCAGTATATATATGAAAATAAAATGATGTTGTGTTTAAAAATGAAAATATAAAAAAAATTAATCGCCTCAACTTTATAAAAAATATAAATTAAAAAGCACATAATTACCTCTCAAAATTACTTTGATATTACAGAATACAAAACGAAGACTGTCCGCGGTGACAAAGGACTTGGAAAATTTAAAATGGGAAAACGAAGTTCTCGAACTGCGTTTCGAAAAAGTAAAATATTTAAACAATAAAATATATCATTTCGCTTGGAATATAAAAAGTTTATCAATTCACACGTGACGTTGTCTCTTTTCAGTGTCAATCCGAAAGAGACGAGTTACATTCCAGATTCGTTTCGGCGATTTTCGATCTACAACAGAAAACAGGTTTGAAGAATGTACTTTTGGAAAAAAAACTGGAAAAGTTGTCGGAAGTACTGGAGCAACGTGAAGCGCAAATCAGCGAAGTGTTGGCAGCTGCCCAATTGGATCCGACGGCGGTGGTTAGTGTAAATAAGAAATTGGAGGTGCGCATAGAACACGATTTTTTGTCGCACTAAAATTGAATTATTCACAAATAGAATAACATTATAGAAGAAAATTCTTTCTTTCATAGGATTTGCTCAATAGAAAAAACGCTGCCATACAAGAGCTACAATATGAATTGGCGAAAGTTTGCAAGGCGCACGATGACTTATTAACGACTTATGAGAGTAAATTGCAGGAATACGGAATTCCTAAAGCTGAACTTGGATTTCAGCCGTTAAGGATGAAAGTAGCCGGCGCGAAATTGGGTTTAGGTCCGGCTGGTCTCGTTACCGCAAATCGGTAACGCATTTTACAACAATTATATTATTGCAGTATTATACACAATCGATTTGTATGATTTGGTGAAGATATTCTGTCTCATTGAAAAACTCGCACTGACGTCAATAATTGTTTACCTTTTGCCAAGATCAAAGATTTCGATAAGCTCGATAATTACATGCATTTACGCGTGCAAATGTTTCACAAGTGTATTTTTGATGCATGTGTGCGCAGCGATATTCCTTCGGAAACCTAAAACATTTCAAAATGTGTTAATATAATCGACATGTAGAATCTATTTTGACACATAGTACTTTTATTTTGTAAAACACGAATACATTTTCAGCATATCGCGTTATGTTCTCAAAAATTACATAAAATTATCACAGAGAATGTACAGAGTAGATCATATCGATGCCTGAAAGTTGTATAGTCTCAATAATTTCGCACAGTTCTCATTTGTCTCGCTTTCTGATCTAATTATCTCTTGTTGCGCAATTTACGTCACATGACAATGAGAAATCATGATATTGTGCACACAATTCCCATCGGTAATTCCGTTTTCGTTGAAATCAGCACAACTTGTCTCCGCGTTACATTTTCGCAGCAGATCTAACAACTGGCAGGCACAAATACATTGAAGATACATTCATGTTTAGATGTTGACATATATATAAATATAAATATATATATATATATATATTTATATTTATGTATATATATATATATATATATACACATATATATACACATATATATATACATATATAGATATAGACACACTGACTAGTCTAGCTTGTAAAACACTATAGGTCAAATACATCAGGTCACATGGTTAATTTTAAGTACCGACTTTTTATGTAAAATACTTCCTCGCTCGGGTGTCTCTCTCTTTTTCTTTCTCTCGTGCGTAGCAGATAATTTGCAAACTTTTCTCTTTCTTTCGTAATATACATATATACTTAACGATTAAGTGAAGAAATAATTTATCGTTTGCTCACCACAGAGATTTGTAAATATATCGTACAACGCTTTGTATAGATATAATTTTATAATATATATATAGATGTATATA